AGAAAGGTCTTGTGTGCCTCCGCCCCTGCTCCACCACTTCCTCCCAGCATTGCAGAGATTAACTGCCTCGCTGCCACCGTGCCACAGAGCCTGAGCCCTTGCTCCCAAACCCCCGCCACCCCCCCCGCCGAGATGGACCAAGCAGCACCCAGGCCTGGCCTGGAGCCCCCGAACCCTCTGCATGGCCGCAGCCACCTCCCCTGCTCCTTACATTTGTAACAAGGGGGATTTTGGAGTAAGGGGGAGGCTCTCGGAGGGGAGAGAAGAGGAGAAATGATTTAGGAGCGTTTTGGATGAGCCTGAAGGTGGTTCATTATTCCCAGTTCCTTATTCCCAGGGTGTGTCTACACCTGCATTTGGGTGCACCTAAATTTAATGCGCATTAGCTTAATGCAATTTAGGCTCATGTCTACACACGCATGCCTTAAAGCTCATTCACGCCACGTGCGCAGACTGACGTGAGACTCAAGTTAGTCCCAAGTCAGTCCATACACAGCATTAATGTGCCTTAATGCATCGACACGTGCATTAATGTGCTTTAGCTATTTGTGCCCAAATCTGATACCTGCTTTTGCATACCTGTTGGCTGCATGGTGCCCACGCCTGCAAGAGAGGAGACAATAGTGGATTTTTATCACTGGTGGGGGGAATCCAGGAGTGCACCCCATTGCCCCAGTGCTGCACCCTCTAGGCTCACCCACACAAAGGAGCCACGTGGTTGTCCAGGCCTACCCTCAAATGGTGCAGGGAGTGAGCTGGCTCTTGAAACAGCCTCCAAGGCTATATCCGCACTGCAACCCAACAAGCTTGGAAAAAACCTATTGAAGCATCATCTTTGCTTTATGCATGCATTGTTCCAGGGGGTGGCTTGACTGCACCCCGTAACTAGTTTTTTTTTTCCAAATAAATTATTCTAACCATTTCACTGGACTTCACTTTTGATATTTTAAATTGGAACAACATGGGCATTTAAAAAACCATTCAGTCTTATAACTCTCTCTCTGGGGCCAGGAGGAAGGGCAGACCCTTGAGTCTCTGAGCTGTTCCAGCTCCTTGGAAAACCAACCTGAAAGCAAGAGAAAGAGGGGACTCTGGCACTCGCACTCCATTCACTGGCCCATGAGCTCACATCAGTCTCTGGCCCCTTCTACACATTACATATATTTTGCATTTGACGGCTGAATCATGCAATACATTTAGACTGCCCATACGTGCAAAGTACTGGTAAGACTAGCCATGAGTGCAAAGCAATGGTTACACAGGTGGCTGATGAATTGCTCCATAATTTAGCTTGGCCGCAGGTGACAAGTAATGATCGTGCCATAAAAATGGCCATCCAGGTACAAAAACAGCCAACCCGCTATGAAGTTCCTGTGGGAAAATGTGGAACAACTTTGTAGCTGGTTTGCATCTAACTTTAGTGTAAACGCAGACTTTTGGTGTTACAAAGCATCCACATGCCCTTGGCCCAGGTCATACTTTGCTGCTGCTCCCTGCCCTGCCTTAAAGCTGCCTTCTCCTGGCAATTCTCCCTGGTCCTCTGACTCACCGCAGGCTGAGGGCATTTCTGGGATGCAGAAGGCAAAGTTGCCTGGGCCAGGGGACTTGTCTTCTGGAGCAGCCCCTAGGGGCTGAGGGCAAGGGGATGTAGGTCAGGAGTGAGAGGCACTGGTAGGGCAGGAGGGTGGGGGTCTGTGGGTCAGGGTGAGGGGCATCACAACAAGGGCTGGGTGGGGCAGGGGACCGTGGCTTGAGAGTGAGGGGCACTGGCATGGCTTGGGGGAGCAGGGGGCTTCAGAGATCGGGATCAGGGCCCAAAATGCTGTGCAGGAAGGACTGGATGCTGCAGGGCTGAGGCCAGAGCAAGCTGACCCCTCTGCAAGGAGCGGGCAGGCAACCTAATGAAGGATAGGCAATGCTACCCACAACCAGAATGTAATCTTTAACTGTACCTAGCCCTATCCCTAATCTCTCCCCACCCCTACCAAAACCCTTACCCTCATGATACTCCTAACCCCATTTCTTTCCTTCACCTCTAGCCTTTTCCCTGATTGATGGGGCCAGCTGTCTTCACAGGCAACTTCTCCAGGGCAGTGGTGGAAACAGGGAAGGTGAGCAGGCTCCACTGCCCTCTGGGCATGGGGCTCAGTGTGGAAGCACTGCCCGGGTGCTCCAAGGTCCAGAGGGACAGGTTAAAATGCTGGGGAAGCTGTGTTTTTTTCCTGCATGGTGATCAGAGAAGTTACCAAGTGGGGGGTCTGTACACTACCTGGTGCAGCCCCAGTCTTAGCCCATACGGTACCTAGCATGTAGGTGAGAGCGGTAGGTAGATGTCCCAGCAGTGGGCAGTCATCGTGACTCACTGATGAGGGACCCCACAAATGTGGCAGTCCTTGTGCCAGACTCTGACGTGCCAGGGTCACCACCGATTACACAGCTGGACATTGCAGGATGGGGATTAGCTGATGGACCAGAGACCTGAGGTATCCAGCCCCCTCCCACCCACAACTCCCCACTCCCCTCCCAGAGAAGCCAGGTGTCCCCAACTCACCCTGCTCCAACCCACCAGAGCTCACTGACGATTCCTTACAGCTTCATTGCGTCCCTTACCCTGGAGTGAAGATGCAGCCAGCTCTGGGGCGAGCAACAAGAAGAAGGCTGCATATAATGTCTAACAGGCAGGGTTTGGATACATCTTATGTCACCTGTTTGAAGAGTACCTCATTCACCTCCTCCTGCTGGCCTAGAACAAATCCCCCCCATTATATCAATGCTGCATCATTCCCCTTTCATCGCCACCCAAATGTATTTTGTTTTGCTGTCTTCTTGGATGTGCTTTTGATGTGCAAGGCAACTCCACCACCTCTTCTCTCAGCCCCATCCTTCTGAAACAAAGCATTAACTCTCAGTCATCATGTCTACACAAGACAATTACTGCGCATTAGCCTAATAACACTGTGCAGTAGCATGTCACAGCTCAAACCGTGCTAATAGCCTACTGTGCAGTGTTATTAGGCTAACGTGCAGTAAGCATCACTAAATAGCTGTGCCGGCACTACTGAGCAGGAACTCTAGATACTGTGCATTTAGTTAGTACTTTATTAAGCGAATACTAAACTAAATGCACAGGATCTATGGAATCAGAACTTGTGGTAGAGGCAATATCTTTTATTAAACCAACCAGGTTTCTGCAAAATAAATTCTTTAATTGCACGATTTTGGGCACAAGTATCTAAAGCGCATTAATGAATGTGTAGACGAACCCATTGCTGACATTTCAGCCACAAGAGCTGTCCCACCAGGTCTTTGTGATACCAATATGATCACAGTTACTTTCACAGGCTGCAGCTTCCAGCTCATCTTGCTTATTCCTCCTGGTTTTCACATCCACATATATGCTGTTCGACCCAGGGGAGGAATGGGCTATCTTGGCAGGCAACAAGCAAAGCAGTGAACAGCAAGGATGGCGGTGGTGGGCAGGAGCTGTTTGAGACAAAGTGATGAAGAAGAGAGGATAGTTGGGGCTGGTCCTGCTTTGAGCAGGGGGTTGGACTTGATCTCAGGAGGTCACATCTAGTCCAACCCCCTACTCAAAGCAGGACCAGCCCCAGCTACATCATCCCAGCCAAGGCTTTGTCTAGTCGGGTCTTAAAAACCTCCAAGGATGGAGATTCCAGTTGAACGATGACCTCCGGAGGTCCCTTCCAATCCTTATTTTCTATGAATCTATGATTTATCGATATTCCCCTTGTCCTGTATCAAGTGTCTTGTCCAACCTGGTCCAGACCCAGTAGCCCTGCTCTGTTGATGTGCAACTTGATAAGACAATCGAGGAAGGTACAAAACAGAGCGCAACAGTAATGTCCTAATGCCAGAGACAAGAGTAGCAAGGGTCACCTTGCTGTGCATACGTGTGGTAGCCTGGGACTGGGATCCAAAGCAGGATATCTAAGTTCAGGCTTTTATCTTCTATGCACCTTGTCTCCATTAGTTAACCCTGGTACTGTTGTCTTCTCTGTGCAAGCTACAGCCACCAGTGGGGAAAACCCCCTTATTGAACAAGAGGAGGAATAGGGGGCATTAACATCCAGGTGTGTGGCTCCCCTCTCCATTGCAAAGGGAGGATGGAAGAAGCTGTCCCCTGGTCTTGTCTTGGTGGGTTCGCTGGTGCTTCGTCAAGCCGGCGCTCTGACGGAAACGCTTCCCGCACTCCCCGCAGCCGTACGGCTTCTCCCCCGTGTGCATGCGCAGGTGCTTGGTAAGCGTCGAGTTGTGGGTGAAACTCCTCCCACACTGGCTGCAGGAAAACCTTTTCTCCCCCGTGTGCACCAGGAGATGCCTTGTGAGCGTGGAGCTCTTGGTGAAGCTCCTCCCGCACTGGGAGCAGGAGAAGGGCTTCTCACCAGTGTGCACGCGCAGGTGGCCCGTGAGCGTCGAGTTGTCACTGAAGCTCTTCCCGCACTGCCGGCAGGAGAACGGCTTCTCCCCTGTGTGCACGCGCCAGTGTTTTGTCAGCGCGGAGTTCTTGGTGAAGCTCTTGCCACACTGGGGGCACGAGAATGGCTTCTCCCCCGTGTGCACGCGCGTGTGCACCTGGAGATGATACCGCCTGGTGAAGCTCTTGCTGCATTCGTTGCAGCGGTACGGCTTGTCCCCCACGTGCATGCGCTGGTGGATTTGGAGGTCGCTCAGGGAGATGCAGCTCTGCCTGCACTCGGGGAAGAGACAGGAGCTCTGTCCTGGTTCTCTCCTCTGTTGCCGGATGAGATGGTCTTTTTCTTGGAAGCTGCTCCAGTTCTCGACACAGGGGTAGGCCTTCTCCCTTCCCAGGGGTCCCCTGTGAGCTCCAAGTTCCTGGAGGTCCCCAAAGCTCTTGCCACAGTCTCCACATATATAGGACCCATGCCCACTCTGAACCCTGCCCTTGGGGCTCTTCAGGTCTCTCAGCCCTTCAAATCCTTCTGTGCACGCAGGGCTCCTGTGGGTCTCCGCTGTTCTCCGTCCTTGTTGGATGGGGAGCTGGTTTCTAGCTGGAAACAGCTTCAGGTTGGCAGGAGACTGATGCTCAGCTCTGCTCAGTGTCCCAGGATCTGCTGGGTGGAGAAGGGAGTGCAGAAATTAGTCCCTGTCCCACTGGCAAAGGGAAACCAGTGCCATTTCCCTGTCCTGGGTTGTTCCCAAGTGTATGGCTGGATCCTAGTAACTCTATGAGAAAGAGGAGTCCCGTTACCACTGGACTCCGGGCCGCAAGTAGGATAGCTTTTAATGCTTGTGCTGCAAGGTGGAGCAGAAAGCAGGAGTCCTGGGGGACACAGTGAGCTGTTTCTACCTGGCCAAGCACAAAAGCTTGTGAATGACACCTACAACTGGAAGACCGTCCCTACAACGTGAGGTCTTAAGTGCTGCCTTCATGCTCCTGAAAGTTATGGAGGGGAGCTTGAAGTTAACCTCAGCAATAGGAGCAGATCAGCAGGCAGCAGAGCTCCTGCCTGCCCCAGCCAATGCTTCTGCAGATGTCAGACCATGGTCTCAAACACAGCGTGCTCATCCCAGGCTGCCACCTCCCCAGCTAAGCATACCAGCTGGATGCAGGTGGCCAGTGCCCTCCATCTGGGCCTAGCCACCTGCCCACTCCATGCCACCACAGCGGCCGGCCAGAGTCAACTGGCCTTTCCCTGCTTCCAGTATAAACCCCTGACTCGGAAAAGAAAGTATCCAGGCAACCCTGGCTTGTGTCTCTGATTGATGCCTCTGCTCCCTGCCTCGGCTCATCCTCAGACCCCACAGTCTGCCTGATCTTTCAGCTTCCCAACCTGGCCTCCTCTTCAACCCGACACCCAGCTGGACCTCTTGGCTACTCGACACGAGGCTCAGGGGTCCCCTCTGCCTTCTGACTCTGCACCCGGATCAGCCCTCCAGTTCTCTGGATTAATCTCCTGACTTCTGGCATCAGGGCTTCCCAACATTTGGACTGGGTACGCTCCTCCTGACCCCAGTTGCTGCCCCACAGGACTCGAGTTTCTCCCAGACCTGGCTGCCTACAACCTGGCATGACTGCCAGCTTGGATAGCTGCCTTGTAGCATTTCCAACCAGACGGCATTGTGGAGGTAAAGCCACCTTGCACTGGAGGATCAGCTTTCACACCATTGAGTGAAGATGGACATTGAAGCCCACAAGTACCTGATTTGTGCATACAATTGAAACAATTGGCCCAAGCATTGTGCGACTCCCTTTCTTCTGCATGAGAGCCCCTTAGCAAGGGGTCTGGGGCTCAGTCTTCAGAGAGAAAGGAGAGGGGAGCCATTTCTGAAGGGGTGATGGGGGTTTTCATGTCCCAAGAGCCCTAATCAGGGGAGAAGGGAACAGTTGCCTGTCCCCACATCACAGATGGTGCAAAGTGGGACACACAGCTGTACCAGGCTGAGACATTTGGGGTCAAGACCTTGTGGAAGAAGGTCAGGACTGATTTTCAGGTTTCCAGCTCTCTCTGTCACTGTGGGGACTGAGTGGCATTGAGTTTGTGAGGGGCAGGGGAGCGCCAAGACTCACCTGGGGACAGGCCCTCAGACCATGAGGTTTCTCCAGGTTCCTCATCTTCACCCACCCAGAGCTCCACCTCCCCTCGCTGGATGCGGCAGATTAAGTCTGGGGTGGCACCTTGATATCCTGTTGGGGGAAATGAGGAAAGGGTGAAGTTTGGTGACCCTCCAGCCAGTACCTGCGTGGGATTTGGGGAGCAGACCCAATAGACTCAACCAGCCTAATAGGAACTCAAGAGTGAACGTAAGGTGAACATTTAAGGTCCAAAAGACCTTCAGGAGATGATGGCTCCTGTCACCCAACTCGGTGAAAAAATGGTCACATGAAATAAGGCACGAATCATTCAGGAGTACGCACAGGACATGCATGTCACAGTAGCACCACAGAACATGTGTAGACATGCAGTGGTCTGTGATGTACTAATGAAGAAGAAAGAGGAAGCTTTTCTATATGTTCAGGATACCAAATGGAAAAGAGAGAGATCAAACACGCTCCTGAATGGACATCATTTATCCTATGCATAATTCCACGCAGACAAGTGGAAACGGGTTTATTCTCATTGACGGTTCACAGGGTTGAGTCCTGGAAGTGAAGAGTCAACGACAGGTTGACAGCGAGGAAAACCTGTATGAAGGAGAAAAATGACTTAACCAGTAGTCAAAAACGAAGGAAAATGTCATTACAATCACACTCGAGAGGAGCACACATGAACGATCATTAGTTCGGTGTTCGGAAAGCAGCGTGAAAGAAATCCTCAGACACGTTAAAGAAGAATAAGCCGCTATACTTGTTTTTTGTAGATCCAGAAAAAAATGTTTAAGCAGGGTCACGACACCAGTCAGAACAAGCGTGGGAAATAAAGATCCTTTGGAAGTGAATATTGGGTTTCACCGAGGGCTCTGCACTGAGCTGACTTCTTTTTATGAGTTGGCAGGCACCAACGTACATGGCCAACGCTATGGGTTTCATGAAGTTTGCAGGTGACTTCCTGACACACAGAGAGATTTTAGGAGGACCAGAAAACTTTAAAGAATGGCTGTCTGAGCTTGATCATGGGTCCCAAATAAATACAGTGAAGCCAGAAGCTGGGGAGAAGAGATTTGAGAGAGGACTATGGGTTGAAACGTGCAATGATGCTTTGTTAGAAGTATCTTGGCTCCATTGCAGGCATGCGTGTCATCACAGCAGTGATTTTCAATCAGGGTCTTAGCACCCTTAGGTGCATATGCATAATTCACAAGCGATCTTTCAATGGGAATTCATGGTGTTAACAATGTTCGGCCCTGCTGTGATCTTTCTGGGGTCTTTACAGCAGAAGAAAAGCTTTCTGCTGGTGGATGGTTTCTCCCCTGAGAAGGGCAGGGCGTAAGAACTGCAATGTATTGGGTCAAACTATAGATCTTTCTTGCCCAGGCTCCTGTGTCGCATCCCGGCACAGAGCGGATGCTGAAAGGCGGACTGAAATAGCATGACCAGGGTTGTCTCCCAATTGCAACCTCTGGCATTTCAGGTCCGGGAAGTTTGGATTCAGAGGCTGTACCCTTCACTCTCTTACTCAATAGCTGCAGATGCCCTTTTCCTTCAAGTCCACTCCCTCGTTGAATCTGGCTAAACTATCAGTGTCCGCAACATCTTGCGGCAATGAGCCCCACCTTTAAAGACATGCTGCGTGAAAAATAAAATAACAGAAAATAAGAAGGAAGTTCTACACTCACTACCTATTCATTTTATTTTACGATTGCCCCTTGCTTTCAGAGTTCGTTCCAGCAGGAGAATTGCTGTAATATTTTTCTGCAGTCAAAAAACAGGTGATAACTAAGAGATAGCATTGTCCAAGGTCTGCCTTGCATTTAAAAAGGCCGAGACTCACGACACGAGAGAATGAGCGGAGGAAATGGAAAAGCTCAGTGTTGCAGCAGCAGCAGGTGTGGCAACACCTCCATTCACTTCAGTTGGCTGATAGCCGGAGGAGGAGAAAGCACTGAAATGCTGAAGCTGGACTAGTTAAATGTTTGGACACGACACAATAGGCAAGAGAATGAGGAAGTCAGACTCGTTCTCCAAATAAGAGCCGTTGGTGAATTTGTGTGCACAACGAATTAGGCACGATATGAACATGATGGGAAGGCAAAGGGAGATCATTTTGCAAAGCGGTATCGGAATACAGAAGCACCACAGCAGGAGCTGGAAAAATGGGCATGGCCGAGCAAAGGCAGCTGGATCCAGTAAAGGAGATATCCATATGAAATAGGAAAAGCCTGAGTGCTGATAAAGCAGTTGGGAGGAAGTGGGTTTAACCAACCAGCTAAAAGTTGATGAGGACAAAACTGCAAGAAAAAAAGGGAGAAGGCAGCAACACATCTGAGCTCAACCCACGCCAGGGAGAAGCAAGACCCAGAGCTTTACCCAGGGAAACGAGGGCTTGGTAATTCCTCAGCATCTGGTCCTGGTACAGCCCCTTGTCTCCATCGTCCAGCAGCGCCCACTCCTCCCGGGTGAAGTGCACGGCCACGTCCTCAAAGGCCTCCGGGAGCTGCAAGCACAAGGGTAACACCATCGGATCCCCACAGCCCTGACCCATGCCTGACCTACAAAGATGGGCACCCTTCCCCATGCCAGGGTGGGATGCAACATTTCCCATTGCACAGCTGACATGCAAGGGGGACACAGCTCTGCTCCACAGGCAGAGGAGCTCATGGATGGGCTTTAGCCCGTGGGGCAGCTACTCTCTCTCATGGCATAGGCTGCTTCACCAGCAGAGAGACCGTCGTGCAGGGCATGCAGAGTCTGCCCTGGAAAAGCTTTTCTCATAGCTGTGACTCACAGGGACAACCCCCTGCCTGGAGGAATTGATCCTCCTCCACCAGGCACCTCCCTAGGAAACTCCAGGGCCTTGTATGCTGAGGTCGGAAATCTGCCTCTCCTTCCAATGTGGCTTCTGGAGTCGGGAGCTCAGCAGGGCCTAGAGCAGCAATTCCTAAACCGAGGGTCGCAATCCCAAATGGGGTTGCATCAGCAGCACATGGGGCCATGGGGGGCTGTGGGTTGGGAGTGAGGGGTCATGCTGAGAAAATAGGGCCATAAGTGGGGTCATGATGAGGGCAAGTTTGGGGAGCACTGAAAGCTGGAATGGCCTGTCCCCATGCAACACGGGATACCTCTCTGCTGAATTTCTACCTCAGCAAGGGCATCTGTGCTTCCCAGCCCTGGATGCACCAGAGGGAACTTGCTGGGTTCAGCTGCAGCGGCCACCAACCCATGCCTTTTGGCGCTGCCTGGGGGTCACAGAGCACCCAGAGGGGCTGTCATGCTGTGCACAATCTGACAATGTTGTGTTGGATCGGTTTTTCGAGGCAGCGTTTCTAGGAGTAGGAAGTCCTAGCTCCGCTGACTCTGACCAGGCACCCTAGGAGCAAGCTCCTGCTCTGCCAGAGGCTTCTCGCCTGGCTCAGGGGGGATGCAGCCCCAGGCACCAATGCATCTTCGAGTCTCCCCACTCCCCCAAACTCCTGTCTCCTCCCAGCTGCACTCACATCTCCAACTGCAGCTAGTGCCTGGCTCACCTCCTGTTTTGGAGGCCTGCCCTGTCTCTTCTGCAGCTGGCCAGGCTCAGGTGTCAGGGATCCCCTCTCTCCCAGTCTCCCTGGGGACACTGTCAGCAGCTCCAGGTTTGCAGGCCCTTCCTCAGGACATTGCTCCTCCACCTTGCTTAGGGTTGCTGCACCTGTTGGGTGGGGAAGGAAACCCACTGTTATTCCCATGCTGGCAAGCACCTTCTCCCAACGTGTGGAAGAAGAGTAAGAAGGATGAGTCCAAGTCCCACAGCTTTTAATAGACCTCCCCAGCCAAAAAGTTGGAGACAAGTCCCAGGGATTCAGAGTGGTGATCAGAGCATCAAGTCAGAGCCAGCACGGGTACCGCTGGCTGCCTCCTTTTTAAAGGACCTTTTTAAAGGTCTTAGCATTCAGCTCATCCAGCGAGCCTTTCTTCTGCAGCTCTCCCACAAGTGCTCCTGCTCACGTAGCTCCTATTTCCCCTCCTTGAATCCTCCGCTCGCGCTCGGACCGATGCTGCACTGGGGTCGGGCTGGCATTTCCCCCTCCCGTGACTTCTCTTGGTGGCAATACAAAGGCAAACAAGATGCAGGGTTTTTCTGCTAGATGCAGCAAACACGTGATAAAAAATGGCCAGGGTCCCTCATCCGGAATGCTGCCCGCTAGTAGAGAGCGTGGCCGTGGTTATACAGATTTGGGCTCTGTCCCATAGGCAGGGACAGAGATGCAGCCTGAGCGCTGGGCAGCCACTCGAGCACCAAGACCGAGGCCCCTGCCACATCACCTGATTCCCACCGAGGTGGGGGCTCGTCTTTTGGGACATCAGGCCCTGAAGTTTCACCGCATCCCGGCTTCTCCAGGGGCAGGTGCTCAGGAGGTGGCTGTGACTCTTGTGGCTGGGAGCCGAGAGGTTCCCACAGTGCCCCAGCACTTCCCATCTTGTCTGAGGCTGTGTCCTTGACCTTCATGCACACTGTGACCTGGGGACAAGACAGACAAGTCCCTTGGGAGAGATGGGGTGGGATTGAGGCTCCCCCAAACACAAGGAGATTCAGCCATCCCTTCCAGCATGTGGAGACGGGGAGGCAGCATCGATGAGCAGGGTGAAATGCTCTCACCTGGAGGGTCTCGTCCTCCGCCGACCCCAGTTGAAACCACTCAGCCATGGTCACAGCCTCCACGCTGTGCCCCCACTCCCAGCTCTGCGTCTCCCGGGGCAGGATGGCCAGGAACTGCTCCAGCACCACCAGCTCCAGCATCTGCTCCTTGCTGCGGCGCTGGGGCTCCAGCCAGCGCTGGCACAGCTCCCGCAGGCGGCTGTGAACCTCCTGCGGCCCCGCGGCCTCCTGGTAGCGGAAGCACCGGAAGCGCCGGCGCCACATCTCCGGGGTGGGGACCTCGTCCCCCAGGGGCAGCTCTGGGTCCATCAGGGCTGGAAAGGGGGCTCCCAGATCTGGAGCTGGCATTAGCTCAGCAGTCATTTCCTTTGCCAGGGGAGGCCCAGCCCCAGCTCCTGCTACCCTGCTCTCACATGGGGGGCTGTCAGCAGCATCTGGCCGGTGGGAAAGGAGGCAACACAGATGTTAGCAGGCAACTGGGGAGCCAGGACCACAACCCATGGGCCAGCCCTGATGCAGGAAGCTGCCCTTGCCCTGGTCCTGCCAGCCCCACAACTCTCCAGAAGACCCCTCACACCCTCCCCCGGCTCCATGGGCAGCCTCAAGTCCACTGCCACATCCTCGCGGGAACCCACGTGGCTCGCAGCTCACCAGGGCCTCCCGTCAGCCCCAATTGGTTTGTCCACACAGGCCTTGGCTGCACTCCTGCTCTGCCCAAGAAACTCCCCCAAAGGCACTGATGTCCTTAGAAGCCATCACCTCCCCTATCCTGGCACATGGGAGGATGCCCGCCCTGCAGCCCCCAACCCAGCCTTGGCACCTGCTCTGCTGGGGACCCTCACTCCCCATCCGCAGCCCCCACCCCAGCCAGTGCCCCTCGTTCCCGACCCCCAGCCCTGCTGGTGCCCCAAACACAACCGACCTGCAGCTTCTGCCCCCAAACCAGCAGTGCCCCTCGCTCCCGACCCGCAGCCTCCGCCCCCAGACCAGCGGTGCCCCCCACTCCTGACCCACATACCCACCCTGTGGGAGCCAGGCCAGTCTCCGGGCTGCATCTCACTGAGCTCAGGCTGCAGATGGGAGTGCAGGACCTGGCCCGCCCCGGCTGCAGCATCACATCCTGCTCCGCCCCAAGCCCAGCAAGGCAGGGGGCACAGAGGCAGCGGTGGTGTGGGGGTCCCCGTGGCCCAGAGCCTCCTCTGCAGCCCCTGGGGCTTGCTCTGGCTCCGGTCCTGCAGTAGCTGTGCTTCCAGGGACGGGGCAGGCATTGCAGTGGGCAGTGGGTCAGGAGTGAGGGGCACCAGCAGGGCTGGGGGGCACGAGGGGTACCAGCAGTGCTGGGGGTGGTGGTGCCCAGGGGGTCTGTGTGCCCTGGGCACTGGGAGGTGCAGCCATGTGGCTGTGGGGCCCTGGGTATGTGCAGGGAATTGCAGGAGGGGCTGTGGGGGGTGGGGGGGTGGAAGTTGTGTCCAGCGTTGCCAACTCTCATGATTTTTGGTGTTAAAGTCTAAGTTTTGGGAATGTGAAAAACTGAACTCTTTCATAGATAGATAGATAGATGAGCTGAATTTCCTACTGGGACAAACTAACGATGCAGAGACAAACTGAGCCTCCTCCAAGGCCCCTGGAGAGCAAGGGGCTGTAGCAGGGGCTGAGGGCAGCCCCCCGGTCCCTGAGAACTTCACCTCCCACACACCGGCAGTTTTGAGCTTTCTAGACAAGAGTTAGTCCCAAGTCAGTCCACACGCACAGTGTTACTGCGCAGTAAGGCGTCTACACGTGCATTACTGTGCAGTCACTAATTGAGCGGAAATTTGATACCTGCAGGTATCAAGTTTACACCCAAGTCAGCATAAGTCGCTTTAATTACTGCACAGTACGGGTGCGCACATGTATATGTCATTTTTGGTTACAGTGCAGTGTAAATGTGCACGTGTAGATGTGCCCACTGACAGCCAAAACAGATGTGACCCAAGTGAATATTTTCTGATGGGCGGGGAAAAATATACTTTTATCCTGAAGTCTAAAATCTTTCACTGAAGACAGTTTGGAGCATCTTTCTTTTAAACCTTGAAGGGAAAGTGGCACCTCCTTCCCCAGGGAGTCTCCTAGAGTAGGATGGGGAGCAGACTGCAGACCTGAAATCCCCCCATGCCCATAACCTTCTCTAATAGCTACTGGTTCTGCCCTTTTTTCTGCCCCTCGGCCCATCTGAAAGCTGCCCCCACAGGACCTGGCATACAAGAAAGATGCCCCCCCAGGACCTGGCATATGACTGTAGGATCCATGGTAAAAATCAGGCAAAGTTAGGTCGCAGGAAAAGCTGCTTGAGAGTCAGAAACAGAAAACTTGTTCTTTCCAAAGCTTAATCAAGGCTGAAACCTGCCAACTTATGGTTTTTAAAAGCAAAATAATTTCTGGGAGTCAAAAAAAAATTAAAAGCAAGTGAGTTGGAAGAGTTAAACCAAGTTGCTGGCCCATGTTGCTTCTGTTCCTTACCCTATGAACACAAGAAAACCCAACCAAATTATTTTTTTCTAAAACTTTAGAGTTCAAAGACCTATAAATAGTATTGTGAAACACAGCAATTTAGAAATAATCACCAAAGGCATGCATTCATCATCGTTATGTATATTTTGGAAACATATTTAAATAGTTTTTTGGGGGGGAAAAGAAAACAATGCTGCCATAACCACAAATCTCATTCCACAAATACAAGGCAACACAATCAATAAAAAGACTGTTCAGGGTCCCCACTTTCACCTTACCAGCATTGCTTACCAACACCCTTTATCAAACTAATCCAAACAGTAGCCAATAATAACCTCAAACTTGGAATAACAGGGTCCCAGGAGCATTCACTGTCATAGCCTCCTAAATGTGTCCCCAAACTGTTTTTCAGTGGGCATGTCTACACGTGCGCTTTAATGCATAGTAGCTTATTCTACTGTGCATTAAAAATGTGCTAATGCACTAATGCACAGTAAAAAATTGGCTACTGCACATTAAGCATCACTAAAAAAAGCGTGTGCTTTCGCTACTGTGCATTAGGACAACCTAATGTGCATTTATTTAATACCTTACATTAGAGGTACAACATTTAATGCGCTTTTTGCTACTGAGCATTAATGAATGTGTAGACACGCCCAAGTTTTCCTTTCCTTTTCGAGTTTGTAGGGCTGCCAGAATGGGATGCTCCTGCACTTAGTACCGGGTTGAGTTGAAGCTTTCAGGTGTGATATTTATTGCCGGGAGGGGGAGGCATCCTCTAGCATCCAGGCTAATCCTGGCTGGGAGACTTGGATTGTGAACACAGTACTAGTAGCTGGGGCATGAGATTCCCCTTCATTTCAGAGTGGCTGCAGTCATAGCGGGCACCGCAGCAGACATCTTTTAATTTGGATAATTTTGCACTTAGTCATTAACTTCTTAACCCCTTGCTAAGATTTTGCACAAGACCTCTTTCCATCCCCCATGCCCACTCTCAAGAGGGAATCATTGTGGCCCCTTAGGGAGCTTGTCTTGGGCATTTAGGGCACTTATGCATGTGCCCGATGCATGCTCTGACACCTTCTGTTCAGGGTCCCCACTTTCTAATTAGCAGACTAGATTAATTAGAAGGTTCCAGCAGCCTTTGCATATGTGCATTCAGTGTCCCTGTGTTTCAAAGCAGTAGTGGGGGCACTTTCACTAAAGCTCATTGAACAAGCTTTAGTTAAAGCACCTCCGCTGCCATTTTGAAACGCAGGGATGCTGACTACACGAGATGCTGTGAGCATTTTAATTAAGAGCATCTCTCAGGAGCTGCTCTAATTAACCCCCCTCCCCAGAGCGTGTGTAAAGATACACTTTGATGGTGGAGTGTGCTGGAGCCTGTTAACACTTCTTGAGGGTGTGCACAAGTAGCCATTGGGAGCTATTTTAATAGAACGGATGCACAAGGGCAGCAGCTGTTGCATTCTAGCTTTTAGGTGTGAATGTGCTGAGAACAATACAAACTAGCCCATTTGACCACAATAGCAAGCAAAAGCCTGAATCGGTGTTGCAGCTGGGAGTGAATTGGTTGCATTTGAATCATTCTTAGGTCATTCACTCCCTGGCCCCTTCACCAGAGTTTTGCACAGGCACAAAACCTTGGGAGCGACCGGGTCAGTCTGCAAGCTCGTTTTTTCTGGAGCATTCGCATCCAAATCCTTTTGGGTCACTTTATGCGACTAACTCCACCCAGCTCCTTTCCCACTGAAAGGCCAGCAACACAGCTGAGACACAGCACACCCTCGGCTCTGTGCCTCTAGGCGCCCCAGGACCTCTGGAAGTCGTACCTCTCATTTATCAGTCATTAAAACATGCTTCTTTCCAATCACACATCAGACTGTCCCTCCCTTGGCCCCACAGACCTGCCACTGCCCGCCTCCAACCCAATCTCCAGTCCAGGGACCTTTCTAATTTTGCTCAGTTCCCAAACCTAAGGAGGACAGGAAAGCACAAAGGTGCCATTCTGCAAAACTTTTCTTGACGTGCTCAGCAGTACAGCAGGGGTGGAAAGGGGACTTTTGTCCCACAATGCTACTTATCCTGTATGCAGTCACTAGCACTGTTCCTTTTCCCCTTGAAATTCAAACACAGCCAAAGATTAAAGCAGAAATGCACATCACAGCACAAGGTCTGCATGTCCGGAGCAGCCCACAGTCATATTTGCTACCAGGCCAGGTCTGTGTGCATGCCGTTGCACATCTCAGAATGCTACCCAGGACCTCCTATGGCAAGGCCACCCCCTCCTGCTTCATGGCCACATTGAGTAATGAGGCACACAGCACCCATGGCTGTAGCCAGGTAGCTCAACAACCCAATTCCTGAGATGTGGGGCAATGCAGGGGAGGCGGAGGATGGAAGACGCAAGGGAGGCAGTGTCATCTCAGCCCCAGGCGGGCTACGGAGGTGTCCACGTATCCTTCCACAGTGTGACAGTCAGCGGAGCAGGTGTCCTAGGGCAGCCTGCAGCAGTAGCTTACTTCATCTCATACCTCTTCTCCATGCACCGCCTCAGAGGTGCTCAGCCTGAGCGGGGAAGGGGCAGTAGCTACTCTTGGGCAAGATCGCTTCAGGGGAGAGGGCAGAAGAACAAATCATCATTTCCTGAGAGTCTCACCCAGCATAGAAACTGCACATGGTGCTGGATGATGCAAGGGCTGCGGAGACGGGGGCAAAGCTGCAGCACCTGAGCAAGAGCCCCACTGCAGAGGCTACGATGGCCCCTGATGCTTCTCCTATCTAGGAGCAGGGAGAGCTAGACACATGGCTCAGGGCCTGTTTGGAAGTCCTCCTCACGTCAAAGCTAGGAACCAGGACGACTCTGCACAGGAAAGGGAACAGTCACTCCATATACTCTTTGTCTAATTAGGCAAGTGGGAAGACCTCCCTAGCATGGTAGAAAAAGGGTTAATTCATAAATCTCTACTCCTCCCTCCCACCCCAACCCCTCCAAACAAAAATCCCAAACAAGACAGCCCCCGCAAGGGTTGTTTGACATCAAACCTGTCCTAAAATATAAAAATCAGCAAAAGAGTGAATATCCCAGGAGGACAGGGATCTGCCTGAAAAAAAAAAAAATGAATGTCTTGCCAACCGGTGTATGCACATTCCCCATAGTGAGCATTTCATCCAGAGTTGACCCAGTGAGGGAAGGCCTGCCTCAGTGACACAGTTTTGCTAGATACCCCAGGAAGGCAGAGGACAGAGTGATAATATCCTAAAAGGCCAGGAGAGCAAGGAAGAAAAAAGGGAGCATCTGGCTGCATGTTTGTGTCTGCACCTGGGACTGGATGGCTGTTTGCAAGGGGACTTCGGAGGCATGCCCCCCCTCTTGGTTACCTGCATCACTTAGCCCTGTTGGCTCCTCCACCCCAACCACAGCCCAGTCAGGAAACCCCTCTTTGAAGAGCAGATGCATTAGAGACCAGGTACAGGATCCCCACCCTCAGTGCTCAGGGAGGACGAGGCATGGGCTAGCAGCATTTCTCCCTCATTCATTGCAAGGGTCCAGTCCCTGTGGGTTCGCTGATGCCGGGTCAGGGCAGAGCTCGTGCAGAAACACTTCCCACACACGGTGCAGCCGTAGGGTCTCTCCCCGGTGTGGATCCTCTGATGGACGGTGAGCTGAGAGCGCTTGCAAAAGCTCTTGCCACACTGCGGGCAGGGGAACGGCTTCTCCCCGGTGTGGATGCGCTGGTGGGCAGCCAGTCCCGAGCGCCACGTGAAGCTTTTCCCGCACTCGGCACACGGGAACGGCTTCTCCCCTGTGTGGATGCTCTGGTGGATGATGAGCCCCGAGCGGTGGCAGAAGCTCTCCCCACACTGAGAGCAGGGGAATGGCTTCTCCCCCATGTGCAGGCGCAGGTGGATCCAGAGCGCCTGCTGCTGGGGGAAGCTTTTCCCGCATTCCCCGCAGTGGTACGGCTTCTCCCCGGTGTGGAGGTGCTGGTGCACTTGCAGGTGATGCTGCTGGGTGAAGCTCTTCCCACACACTGTGCAGTGATAGGGCCTCTCCCCCGTGTGCACGCGCTGGTGGTCCTGGAGGTGATGTTGTTGGGTGAAGCTCTTCCCACACTCAGGGCAGCCATAGGGCTTCTCCCCTCGGTGGAGGCGCTGGTGCACGCGGATGTGCGACCTCTGGGCAAAGCTCTTCCCGCACTCGGGGCACAGGTAGGGGCGCTCCCCCGAGTGCGTCCTCTGGTGCCGGATGAGAAGCGATTTATACTGGAAGCTCTTCTCGCACTCGGGGCAGGGGTGGGCAGCCTCCCTCCGGTGGGTCCTCCGGTGTACCCAGAGATCTTCGGTGTCCTTGAAGCTCTCGCCGCATGCTCCACATTTATACAGCACCTCCCCACTGCGAACCCCATCCTCCTGCCTGCTCGGGGCTCTCTGCTCCTCGAGTCCTTCCCTGCACACAGGGTGAGTTTGGGGCTTGGCTGCTGCGAGCCCTTCTTCAGGAGCCTGCTGCTCCACTCTGCTTGGTATCCCAGCACCTGCTTGGTGGAGAAAGCAATGCAGAAATCAGTCCCTGTCCTCCTGGAAAACAGGGCAAGGCCAGTTATGCCCCTGCGCTGGGATGTGCCTCAGAACAGGGCTGAGCTCTGACATTGGGTGCCCTAAAGGCTGGGATAGAAACGCCAAATTATGTCAAGCCTTATTCCTTAAGGAAACCTTCTGGGAGGGGAGGGTTTTCAGGTGCAAACCCAGGCCCGAAATGAGCAGTTATGCTCCGTGACGCAGCTCCTACCCAGGTGCTGGGACACAAGGCGGCCTTTAACGTCTCCTGCCCTGGCATCCCAAGTTACAGAGGGACAAAGCGGGGAACATTTGCCTGTGCCTACATTATTGATGCAAGGGATTGGGAACACGCACCTGCTTGGACAGCACAGATCAGACTAAGCTAGTTGAAGACAGGACCTTTGGGTCTCGGCTCGTGTTAAGTCAGTCTGGGGTCCGAGCCATCCTCAGGACCAGGAAGGAGGCAGCATCATTAAGACTCACCTAGGCATGGGCCCTCGGACCATGAGCTCTCTCCTGAATCCTCACCATCAGAGACCCAGAGCTCCGCGTCCCCTTGCTGGATGCGGCTGATTAAGTCTGGTGTGGGACCACGATGTCCTATTTCGGCAAATGTAGAAAGGGACATTTTAGTTGGTTACTTAACATCCAGAACCCAACTGGGGTTTAAGGAAAGGCTCCGATAGACTCAACTATCCTAAGGAGCCTTGAGGAAAAGGGAAGGTGGACATTTAGGATCCAGCAGAAACCCGGTCACCCAGATAGCTGTATGAAATCTAAATCAAATCACTCCTAAGTATAGGTAGGTGTTTAAAAAAAATAAATCAGAGAGACACCATGAAACATAGGCAAGGATGCATAGATCTGGATTGCACTAGAAGGGAAAAGGATAAAGTTTTTGCATGTTCAAGAGACCAAATGGTGAATGCTTATACGGACAAGAACAGTTTATGGTTCCAGGAAAGCTCCAGTTACAGAAATAGAAAAAAAAAAAAAAGGCTTTATTCTTGGTGAAGGTTTTCAGTGAATACTATTGGATAGGCAGAGTCAGTGACTGGTAGATGACAAACTTGATAAAGTAAGCCCCACCACCAAATACAGGGTCCGCAGGTAGGGTATGGCCACACAGAGAAAGGATGACTTGATATCAACCGTAGATGCAAGTATCCCAGCTATTCTTGCCAACGGAAAGATCAACATAGGAGCAAGTATGAATCTGCAGGTTGATAAGTACTGCAAAGACTAATGCAGGCCAGGGACAGGGGTTATGGAGATGGACTAAAAGGAGGAGACTGCATTTTCTAAGAACATGTGCAAGTCCATTAGTGTGGCATTGGTCAACAGTTTCCCCAAAGGGCAAGCTCCTCCAAAAGTGATGGTCATCCAATGCACAGAGGTTTTATAATGACAAAGTTTAAAGATAAAATGGAAAATAGCGTTTGAAAGGGGCTGCCATGTTAGAGCAAAGTAGCATAAGACAAAGCCTTACTTGGTAACTTTGGGCTATTCCCCAAAAATACAGTAGAGAAAAGGAATACAGGGGAAATAGGGAAAGCAGGAGTTGTTTCATGACAGCTAGGACTACAGTGGTAAAGTAAACCTGCCAGGTTGTTACCAAGGCTTGATTTAAATGCATTTTGGGATAAGTGAAGGGGGGGGGAATGAAAATGTATGAAATATATGAAAAGAAAGGCAGAGTGGTATACTTCACAGGCAGTGTACCAGCAACACAGCAGTAGCCAGACCACCAACATCATGAGCTTATCACAACACTTCCCATCTCGTGCTGAAAAAATCTGTGCTCTTCAAAGGCCAGAACTTCTGCCCAGAGAAACAGCCTGACAATTGGCCATCATTTTTGAAGACTCGTGGTGATCAGAAGAGGTCCCGGATGACTGAAAAAGGGCAAACGTAAGTGCCAGTATTTTGGAAAGGGAAAAGGGAGGATCCAGGGAACTACAGACCAATCAGACTCACTTCAGTCCCTGGAAAAATCATGGAGCAGGTCCTCAACACATCCATTTCTAAGCACTTGGCGGAGAAAAAGGGTGATTAGGAACCACCAGCATGGCTTCACCAGGTGCAAGTCATGCCTGACCAACCTGTTTGGCTCCTATGACGACGGGACTGGCTCCGTGGATGTGGTGTACCTTGATTTTAGCAAGGCTTTTGATACGGTCTTCAACAGCATTCTCCCAGGCAAGCTAAGGAAGTCCGGGCTGGATGAATGGACTGTAAGGTGGATAGAAAAACGGCTGGAGCATCGGGCTCCAAGGGTAGTAATCAATGGCTCTATGTCTAGTTGGCAGCCGGTATCAAGTGGAGGGGGCTGGGGGACATGAATTATAAGGAAAGACTGAGGAAACCGGGCTTATTTAGCCAAAATAAGGGGAGAATGAGAGGGGATTTAATAGCAGCCTTCAACTCCCTGAAGGAGGGTTCAAAAGAGGATGGAGCTGGACTGTTCTCAGTGGGGGCAGATGACAGGACAAGGAGCAATGGTCCCAAGTAGCAGCAAGGGAAGTTGAGGTTAGATATTAGGAAGACTTTTCTCACTAGGAGGGTAGTAAAACACTGGAACAGGCTTCCCAGAGAGGTTGTGGAGTCACCATCCTTCAATGTTTATGACCCAGCTCGACAAAGCCTTGGGTTGGACGATGTAGTTGGGGACACTCCTACTTTGAGTAGGGGGATGGACTACATGTGACCTCCTGAGGTTCCTTCCAACCCTAATTTTTCCATGATACTATGACTTAGCATAGACAACGACTTTATGGTCTATTATAATCTTCCTGATACTAGCTATCCCTTGTACTTCACAGCTAATAAGGACCCTTAGCACGGTTTTGTTCCATCTGCTATTTAGCTCAGCTGCATCTGTTTCTGCCTCAGAGGCCTGAGGAAGGCTTCTGTGATACCCAATTCTTGCCTATGTTTATACCAACCATACCTTGTGTTGGACCAACTGTATCATCCACAAGGATTCCTCCCTTTCGCATATCTCCTGGACCTTCATGGCAACATCACCTCAGCACTATGAAGCTTTAGAGAGCAACCAGTGTCACTATAGAGGGAGGGGCCCAAAAGTAAATGTGGCAAAGACAAAATCTATGGTTTGTGGGGATGCAATAAAGAAATATGAGCCAAAGCATCTACTGACTCTTGGAAAGAAGCAGTTGGGCTACAATGTTTATAAGGAAATGTCCCTAGAGGATGAGTCAAGGGAACAGAAGCACCATGCATTGAAACAGAAGATGCTGGTAAAACTTTCTTTAACTTCTGCTGCATAGTAACCAGAAGAGATGGAAAAGGCTTAAAGACTACTACTAAAACTTCCCGATAGGATTGTGAAATATTTCAACAACTTACAAAAGAAAAGAGAAGGAGGAAGTGAGAACCATCCCCCCAAGGAACAGCCTTTGGTGATGATTTATGCCCAACCCATTAGAGATGACAAGAAGGTGTTGAGTGTACAAAGAGGAGAACATCTTGGTAAGGAATTGCTGGTTATGAAAGCACCAGGAGTTCGATGAAGAGGAAGCGCCCAGAGAAGAAAGATATATCAGATGAAGGATGACGTGGAATTATAAAACAGAACAAAGGCCCTGAGCAACAACAGAGCAGCATGGAGAGGAGATTGAAACTGGCTGCCAACCTCACATAGAATAAGATGGGAAAAGGAGGAGGAAGAAGAGACATTTTTCACAAAGGTTCAGGGAGAAGCAAAAAACCCTGAGTATTACCCATAAAAACAAGGGCTTGGTAATTCCTCAGCATCTGGTCCCGGTAAAGCAGCTTGTCTTCATCTTCCAGCAGTGCCCACTCCTTCCGGGTGAAGTACACAGCCACGTCCTCAAAGGCTTTCTGGAGCTGCAGACACAAGTGTTGGATATTCAGCCCCTTTTGTGGCAAGTTTCCACCCCTATGCTGCCACAGCTGTTCCAGCAACTCCCTTGGTGGGGATGCAGTGACCACAAAGTGCCTTTGTCGGCTTCATCTAGGGAAGAAATGCAACTCCTCCTCCTGTTGGCATAGGCTGTGTCTACACGAGGAGGCTGTGCCAACACAGACAAACCAACATTGCTATACCAGCAGAGGTTCTGTGGCGCAAATGAGCCCCAAGTCTCACTCAGAGAAGCAGTTTCCATAACAGTCTCACAGGGAGAACAACCTTCCCTATAGGGATGGCTCTAGAAATGTATGCGTCTCCAGCCAGACACGTCCTCTGTGAAACCCAGAGCCCTGCAAAGTCGACCCAAAGGTCTTCCTTTGCTTTTTTTTTTATAGGACAGAGAGCTCTGAAGGGCCCAGGATTTCAAGGAATTGACTTGCCTGACACGATAACGTGTCCTTGCTGCTGTCCTACCTCAGCCAGGGCTGCTGCAGCCATCCTCCACGATCTCAGCAGAGGATTGGAAATCAAGTGCTGGGGAAGGAAGACAAAGAGATCACTGATTCCCAATGGTCTGCGATGGGCAGGAGCAGTCCAAATTCCTTTGCGGGGTGGGGGAAATCAACCTGGATACAGGAAAAAGAGAGGATTGCAGCATTCAAACTCTATGCACAGCAACTACAGCATTCATTATATTTTGGTGTCAGGATGCCCATGGCACAAGTCACACCCAAGGGCATGGAGGGGGATCCCCCAGATAGGAATGAGCTCTGCGGTTTCATCCTAATCAGACACAGGCGGTCAAATCCCCGGTTAAGCCAGGAGTGTCTGCTCAGCTTTACTCTACAGACCCCCTCGGTAGTCTGAGGGGCAGAGATTAGTGGCAGGGGCTCTTTCTTAGCTCCCAAAACGTAACATGGGCTCTCTGAACACCCCACTTTAAGAGCCACTGAGCTCTGGCCACTTGGACTCTTGAGACCAAGCAGTTCGGTCCAACCAACCCCAGCTCCATGTGCTCCCTCTCTTAGGAACATCTTCCAGCTCAGCTTCTGGTGTGGGACGAGACCTCGGCACAGGGACGGATCAAACCCCCAGGCATATGAAGTGAAACAGCGTGAATCAGTGCCCTGCAGGGCAGCACATCTCCAGGCCTAGCATCTGCAAGCAGCCTCAGTCTCTCCTTGTCCTGCCTTTCTCTCTGCACTTCCACCTGAAGTCAGGTAGAAGTTGGGGCAGGGGTAATGCAGGATGTTTTTTGTTGTCCCTCCAGCAGGCTGTTGCCTCCTGGGAAGGTCTGAATTCAGCAGTGCTTCATTTATTCGCATGCACATTTTAGTGCATTGGAAGGGGATCCCAGAAGCTTCGGCACAAGCCCCAGTTCGGAGTTTCTCAACCCATGGATCATGACCCAGAAGCCCATCACAAGACTATGTGAGAGGGTCATGAACAAAAAATAGAATCTCCTTTAAAGGAGAAGAGGCATGAGAAACCATGGGTTTCCCCTTGCAGGCTAGCAGACTTCCAGCTTGCAAAGGGCTCCATACTCCTCCCCCACTTCCCTATACCCCGCCACACTGGACAGCTGGGGCCTGGTGGCAGCGGGTTGGAAGTGAAGGGCACTAGCAGGGCGAGGGGTCTGTTTTCTACTTACACTATTTACTGAGTGGGCCCTGGCCATGAAGGTTTGCAAATGGATCCTGGTACAAAAGAGGTTGAGAAACACTGCCCTAATTGAGTCACAGGTTTGCCAGGGCAAGCTGACCCCATTCTTACCTAGTGTATGTAAAAAGAGGTCTGGGAAACTGGGGCATGTTTGCAACCCTCCCACATGCACCTAGGAAATATTGTCACACATCATACGATTGTGTCACAGGCCCAGAGTCCACAAGGATTTATTGCTGCCACTAAATACATGGGACTTCGGCTGCTGAGACTGGACACTGAAGCCATCTGTGCTATCTTGAAGAGGGAATGGGAAAGGGAATGAGATCTCCCAGATGGCCTGTGAAGCAGGGGATGAAGGAAGCAGATTAGGCTGAATTGATCTGGATGGGGGGGAAAAGAGGAGATTGTGGCATTCAAACTCCATGCATAGGAGCAAGAGCTCAACCCTTCTGCACTGGTTTCACAAACTCTCTCAGCGCAGTCCCCCAGGCAGTACCAGCATGGGGGGAGTCTGGGTTTTAACCCAGTCAGACCCTGGCACAAAGGGACTGGGCTGAATTTCAAACCCAGATAGGTTGCTCTTGCACGGGCTTTTCCTGTATCAGTCTGGCATCCTGCTTACTCCTAGAAAACAGCACGGTCACGATGAGGCTGCCCCAGCACTGGCTGTGCTTGGGGGTGGGCCATGCTGGGCTCAGTGGCACACATTCAGACACCCCAGGGTGCTAGGTTCCCTCTCCAAGAGACCCCCCCCCTCCCACCCCTTGCCCCCACTCACCCACCAGGCTGTAGCAATAAGCTCCTGGTCTCTGGAGCTGCAGACAGGACCTGATGCTCAGCACCTATGGGGAAAGCAGACCAGGACCTCACAGAGGAGGGGTTTCAGCCAGAGAGGATTAGTCTGAGATTTGATTTGCATCAAAACAGGGGTGGGACAGATGTTGGCACTTAAAGGCAATTATCCCTGATTCTGCCTAGGCAAAGTGTTAATTCCAATACTTCCCAGGTACTTAGCATGGGACAAGGGGCTGCTTCTTCATAAGGTCTGGAGTTTGTTCCCCTGTTCAAATCCGAATTAAAGCTGTGATCCTGCATGCCCTGGGACCCAGAGAGAATTTTATCCCTGTTCCTTTGAAGTCAGGCAGAAGGGTGGCACCTTAGAGACTGGCTCAGGGAGGCATAAGCTGGGACCTGAGGGGCTCTGCACTCTGTGGAGCTCCCCTGGTCCCAGCCAGAGTCCATGGTACAGCAGGATACAGCCATGGATTGCCGGTGGTGGGGTAAGACCCCCGCTGTGTGCACTGTCTCCAGGGGCATTAAAACTGGGGAGAAGGGGAGAAGTTGAGTGCAATGGTCACTGGTGCAGGAGCATCTCCCTGGAGGGTTCATTGTTATGGGGAGGGGCAGTCCTACTCCTTTTCCCCGGGTTGCTTTCCCTGTGACCCCCAACTCCCCAAGACTCAACCCTAGTCCCTGAAAATCTCATGACTGAGCCCTTAAAAATCATTTGAGACCCACCAGACCTTCCCACAGCCTCTGGTCCATGTGCACCTCATGCCCCCCAGCAGACCCCTGCCCCCCACCCCCAAAACAAACAAGTAAACCCTCGTTCTCCCCCAATTCCCTATTTCCTGAAGCAGGGCATGGCCTGGGTTGGAGAGAGGTTGTGAGAACCAATACCCACAAGATGGTCATAGAAATCCCAGAGAAGGGAGGCTGGAGGGGGCCTGCAGAGGTCACATCTAGTCCAACACAGCCTGAGGCAGGATCAGCCCTGTCCACACCATCCAGCACATCAGGGGCAGTGATTCTTCCCCTCTATTCAGCACTGGGGAGGCCACATCTGGAGGTTGGTGTCCAGTTTTAGGCCCCCTACTACAGAAAGGATGGAGAGAGTTCAGTGGATGGCAACAAGAAGGGTTTGGGGGCTGGGACACATGACTTGTTAGGAGATCTTAAGGAACTGGGCTTATTTAGTCTGGGGAAGAGAAAACTGAGAGGGGATTGAATAGCAGCCTTCAACTCCCTAAAGGGGGGCTTGAAAGAGGATGGAGCTGGGCTGTTCTCGGTGGTGACAGATGACCGAACAAGGAACAATGAATGGACTCAAGTTGCAGCAAGGGAAGTTTAGGTTGGATATTAGGAAGAGCTTTCCCACTAGGAGGATAGTAAAAGATTGGAACAGGTTACCCAGAGAGGTTATGAACTTCCAGCCTTGGAGGTTTTGAAGACCCAGACAGACAAAGCCTTGTCTGGGATGATGGAGTTGGGGATAGTCCAGCTTTGAGCAGGGGGCTGGACTAGATGTGACCTCCTGAGCTCCCTTCAACCTCATTTTCTATGGTTCTATCTCAGACAAACCCATTATCTGAACTCTGAGCAGCACGAAACGGTCATCCCCGACACAGCCCAAACATCACACCTGTACCGGCCACAAGTAAAGCCAGGGGACCACAACAGCCAACATCCTGCTGCTGTAAAAGGTTGTTAATATACGCTCAAGAGGTGCTGTGCCCCTGCTACAGAGGAAGGCCAAACCTGCTCGGTCTGGACCAGTCTGATCACAGGGGGAAATTCCTTCCAGACTGGTGTTGGTCCGATGCTAGCAGGACCCTCTAGCCAGGACTTTGGTCCCAGCAGGAGCATCGGCAGGGCCTGGTTGTCATCTCCAGCTTGGAGATAACCCAATAACACCCCAATACCTCTGAGGGAGGCTTAAAGACACCCTGACACACAGAGCAGAAATGCAGGGAGGGGGCAACCAGCATGTCCCAGAAGCCTGGGACATCCCCACAGTGGAACAAAGAAACCCCAACCATTTCCATGTCACTGAGTGGCAGTGAGACCAGCCAGCCTGGCAGGGGTGACTCCAAGAAACCATCCACCATCACCCAGGCACCTTTGCAGGGAACCTTTGGGGTCTGCAAGGTTGTGGCAGGAGTTTGAGAACAGGCCCAAGTCCCACAAACAACGGATTAAAAATGGCCTGAATTAATGTTGGCAGAAGGTTTCGGACCACCCATGGAGGGTGCATGTGAGGCAGCCTCCCAGGAGAAGAAGATGGTGGTGAGACTTTTGGCCTTGGAGGACGGAGGCTGATGGGTGTCTGGTACAGGGGACAGGCTATCTGTACCCATACCTGGTACAGGGGACAGGATACAGAGGGCAGCAGGGGCCAGGATATCTCCAGAGTTGTTGGTTGTGGTTGTGTTGGTCTAAGGATGTAGGCAGACAAGGTTCTTTGCTAGATGTGATATCTTTTATTAAACCAACTAAGTAGTTGGAAAAAAATGTTCTGTGCAAGTTTTGGGCACAGATGTGTTATACCTGAAGAACCTTATCTGCCTATGCCTGCAGAAGGGCATTTGTGCCCGAAAGCTGGCAAAGAACAATTTTTTCCAACTATTGAGTTGGTCTAATACAAGATATCACATCTACCAAGGATATCTCCAGGACAATCACCTGGCAGGAGAAACACCAGGGCATGCAGAGGGACAGTGGATTCCCAGCTCAGGCCAGGCAGCCGCTTTAGGAAACCAACCTGGGAGCAGGAAGAAGAGGGCATGGTGGCATCTGCCCTCCACACCCAGAAGTACAGGCTCTAGGGCAAAGTGCGCAGATTGCCTTGGTGCCTGCACGTATTACGAATTGTACCATAAGCACAGAGCGGCCACACAGGCCCAGTACCGGGAGTGCCGGAAAAATGGCCAGCCAGCTACAAAAGGATCCCGCCGGCCCCAAAGGGAGCGCTTGGCAAGTGTGGCCCTCTGCAGCTGCTTTGTATCCAGATTTCATTTGACGTGAAACAAAGTATCCACATCCCCTGGGCACAGCCTCAGCTGCAGGCTGGCATGGGGGGGATGCTACAGGCAGCAGCAGCTCCAGGCTGGGGCTTTTGTCCCTGCTCAGCGGCTGGGATGCCTGGGGCAGCTCCAGTCCCCTGCCTGCTAGGGGGGGGGGGGGGTCTGCGCTGCCCCGGCTCTGCCCCTGCCTCCCCCCGGCCCCACTCACCGCTGTGCCAGGGCGATGCCTCAGCTGGGACCGGGTGCTGGCATCGGCTCCAAGCCCAGGATGGAGGAAGGGGCGGGACAGGAAGGGACCGTGGGTTTCCAGCCCTCCTCCCTGGCATGCCCGGGGCGGGCTCTGCCCAGGGGAAGAGCCAGGGCAGAGCCACTGCCTCCCACTGGACCGGGCCAGACCCCCGTGCCCCCAGCTGCGGAGGTGAAGGCTGCAGGCCAGGCCCAGGGGAGGAGCGGGTAGGGACTGTGGGGGCACCGGCAGAGTAGGGGGCTGCAGATCGGGAGTGAGGGGCACTGGCAGCAATGTGGGGCTGTGGATCGGGAGTGAGGGGCACCGGCGAGGCTGGGGGGCAGGGGTTGCGGGTCACCCTCCAGATGATGTGGTTGAAAGGTGGGAGGAAGGAGGGGGCTGCGTTGGCTGGTGGTGCAGCGAGCGTGGAGGAGGGGGTCCATGAGCTGGGTTGGGTGTGGGGGATGGTTTGGGGAGAGGACGGGCAGGGTCCTGGGCTGGGCAGGAGCAGCCGAAGGGCACGGTTGTGCTAGGCTGTCACAAGCGCCAGACCCGCGCTGCTGCAGGCTGCACTTTCCATGGGGGAGGCTGCAAATTTGTTGGCCCAGGTTTGTGCGTGGAGCAGGGCAGGGAAGCTGCCGTCAAGCGCGGAGGCTGGAAGAGAGAGTGACCTAGCTCCGAGCAGGGTTTTCCCCTGTTCCTCTCTCCACTTGCAGCCTCCAGCATTTCGGGTCTGGGAAGCTCTGATTCGGAGGCCGTGCCCCTCACTCACTCACTCAATAGCTACCGCTGCCCCTTTCCTCCAAGCATGTCCCCAGTCCCTTGCAAATCTGGCTGAACTCTTGGCTTCTACCACGTCTGCGCACACGGTGGGGCAATGGCTGTGGGACCATGCAGGGGACTGTGGAGGCAGCGAGCTGTGGCCCACATGGAGGTGCAGGGCTCTGGGATTGTGTGGCCATTGAGGGGGCCTGGGAAGGGGTATGGGATGAGCTGGGGTGCAAGGCCACGTGCCAGAGGCCGTACAGGAGATGAAGTAGAAGTGGGGTGACAGGGACATGGTCTTCACTGTGGTCATCACACTATAAAATCCATGTCTTTCTTTTCCCCAGGAGATTGGATGCTGCCATCAGGCCTCATTCATTAGCAGAGGGAGAGGCCAGGCTGGGGTGAGGCCTTCCGGGGTGGGGAAGATGGGTGCTGAGCTGCCAGCACCAGTGGTTGACCTTCCCTGGCCAGCATGGGTGCACCCTCCAGTGAAGATGGAAGATCAGGACCCGGCAGGTCCCAATTCTGAGGCAGGAGCTGATGGGGCAGGGGACAAGCCTTATGTCATCCAGACTAGGAGCAGCAAGACACCCAAAAGGATCAAGCAGGAGCCATGAGAAGGGCTGGCTCACCACTGGGAGGTGCGGTGGCGGGAGCCCCAGGCCCCGTGTCCCCTTGCTAAGACTGTGCCAGCCCCAGGACCCACATGGCTGCTGGAGCCGTCGCCATCATCATGGGACAACCCCTTGTCAGGAGACGCGGTGCCAGTGCTTCCAGGAATTGGGCTGCCAGGAGGCTGAGGGACCGTGGGAGGTTTGTAGTCGCCTGCAGGAGCTCTGCCAGCGATGGTTGGGGCCCTAGTGCAGCACCAAGGAGCAGATGCTGGAGCTGGTGGTGCTGGGGCAGTTCCTGGCCATCCTGCCCCAAGAGATGCAGGGCTGGGAGCGGGAGTGCAGCATGGAGACCTGCAGCGGGGTAGTGGCCATGGCTGAGGTGTTTTGCCTGGGCCTGGTGGAGAATGAGATGCTTCAGGTGAGAGCATTTCACCCCCACAATGATGCTATGTCCCTGTCTCCCTGTGTTTGGGGACGTTCCCTCCCAGCCCCGTCTCTCCCAGCAATGTGGCTGTCTTGTCCCCAGGTCACAGTGCATGCCAAGGTCAAGGACGTGGCCTCAGACAAGATGGTGCCCATTGGGGTATTGTGGGAGGCTCTTGACCCCTGGCCTGAGCAGCCTCAGTCCTATCCTATGGACATTCCCTAGGAGCAGGCAGGATGGGGTGAAACCCTGGGGGCCCAGGACGAGCTGCCTGATGTCCCACATCAGCTGGAGTCAGGTAATGTGCCAGATGCAGGGCAGGGTTTGAGTCTTGGCACCTAAACAGCTGCCTCAGTCAGATTGCAGGCAGACTGGACAGCCTTCTCTCTCCCTGTCTCCTGGTGTTGGAGCGATGCAGTCGGCATCTCATGAAGCCTCCTTTGACTTTGCAGCCTGAGCGACCAGCAACCCATTGACAGAAAGTTCCCACAATATTTTCATTAAAATGAATAGGGGAAAAAACAAACACTTTTTTAAGTGTTTGTTTTTCGGTTGCATTTATTTTTGTGGAGAACCCCCCACCCTCGACCACCGCCTCCAAAATGCATGATCCAAGTGATGTTTTCCATAAATACCAGAAACAGCAGATCAAGAAATTGCACAGCAGCTGATTCATAGTGTGTCCTCTCAACAGGGACAACGGTTCCTTATCCCACTGCTGCTAACTCGGGCATCCTTCCAGGTGCCAGCTGCCTTGTTCACTTCTCCCACCGATCCCTGGGGCAAAAGCAGCTTGGCTTTGGGGCTGTCCATCCTCACAGGTGGGGGATGAGTGACCCACCCAGATGCCACCTAGGATGTCACCCTGCCTGTGCCCTTAGCTGGTGGGTCCTGGGAAGCTGTGATGTGCAATATGAAGCACACGTGTTGCAAGCCTAGGGGAATGAGAGGCTCAACCCCAGCAGGAGGGAAGGGGCAGATGCAGGCGGGACTGTCTGCAAGGGCCCCAGGTGTTTCCCAGCACCAGGGAGGAGATGGAGCTGTGGGTGCAAAGTTGGGAGCTGCTGCCTGGCCAGATGGCAAGGAGCTGGAGGTCAGAAGTGAGGGGCACTGGCAGGCCTGGGAAATGCAGATCCTAGGGTCTCACTGCCCAAGTGCTGAGTGGGGCCAGGGCAGGTATGAGGAGGGAACACCCTGCTGAAAAAGAGGTAGGATGGGGGTCTCTGCCCTGCAAATGCAGTCCCCTGCCACTCACCTGGGCCATAGCATCCCTGATAATGGCCCTTTGTTCTCTCCCACAACCCATCCTGTGTGTGGAGGGGTGCAATGGGGGCAGGAGCCTAGCACCCCACCCCTATGTCTGGATCCCTGGGAAGCTCTCTGGAGTGCAAGGCTGCCCCCAGCCCCGAGCCCTGCCTAGGAGATGGCTACACTGCGATCCATGGTGGGATGCAGGTTGGGGGCACAGTGTGCACTGTCTGCTTGCTGGGAAGGGGATGAATGGTGGGTGCAGAAGCAATGGACGGGAAGGGTGCAGGGATGCTGTGTTAGGAGAGGTTTAATGGGGGTGGTCAGGCGAACGGATCTGCCGAGCTGCTTCTTGAACCCTTGGAGGGGTATTTTGGAAGCTGGCCTGCTCTCGGTGCCCTGTGGTGGGGCAGGCGGGATGATCATGAGGCCTCTCTGTGTGGATGAGGATGGGGTGCATCAGGGCTGGGTGAGGGGTGCAGAATTGGGCTGGCGGGTCCTGGCCTGGGCATCTCTGGTAGGAGAGAAGCCCCCAGATCCTTTACCAGGGCTGGACCTCATCATGCTACAAGAGTAAAAATCAATGACTGAGGCCCGGTCACCCCTCTCGTGCCTCTGCGAGCTCTCTGTGCCCGGCCCTTTCCAGCAGCAAGAGGGGTGAGCTCCCACCTGCCATGGGGTTTTGCTGGGGATCAATACACCAGCACTTGAGTGTTTCCTGTCCTCTCAGCAACTCCCCAGAAGCCTCCCATGCCTCCTGGAGCATGTGGCCCTTATCTGTGCCCTCCGCCACCCCGGGAAATGGGATCCAGCACTGGGATCCCCATGTCTCTCCCCGCAGGGAGCGATGCCCGTGCAAGCTCTGACAGGGTGCTGGACGCGGGGCTCCTCTCCAGCTCCATGGCTGAGGAGGTCTATGAGCAAGATCTGTAGGACTTTGTCTCTTCCGTCCCCCTCCTCTCCCACACCACGAAGCTGCCCAGGCTCCTGCCTGCAGGCAGCACCAGCATGGGGATATTCTCAGGCTCTCCCTGCACCAGCAAAACAGGGGCTACGCTGTGGACTCCCTTCCTCCTCCCGGGGGGGCAGGCCCCCCAAGACAGGGTTTGTCACCCTGGAGCTGCTGGGGACATCCCAGGAAGATCAGGGGAGAGCTGAACGGGGCAAGGCCATGGACCCATTCAAGACTGGCGGGGCAAGAAAGAGCCCGTCGGGTGACACCCAGGCAGCACCCGCGGCTGAGCCCAGCTGGGACGGGGCAGCGCAGAGGGACGCATTGCCTGGACACAGAAAGGGAGGCGTAGGTTGGATATTGGGGGGGGGGAACCCTTTCTCTCTAGGAGGGGGTGATGCACGACCCCAAGACGTGGTGGTGGCATCTCCATCCGTGCAGCTGCGGCTGGTCCTGCTCGGAGCAGGGGCTGGGCTGGATGTGACCCCCTGCCCCCGTGGTATAGGGGTCCTGGTGCGGTGCTCGGCATGCCCGTGCCCGTCCCCCGGGCGCTGCGGGCGGAGTTGTGGCAGGATGTGATGCTGCTGCGGGGCTGGGCCGAGCCTTTCGCCGCCCAGCGCTGCCCGGCCCTGGCCCCGGTGCGTGTGCGGGAAGGGGGTGAGGGTGCGGGGTGCCGGGGCGGGCACGCGGGGCCGGGGGTGCACCCCTCTCTCTGCCGCCTCCTGCCTTCCCCTCCGGGCCGCCCTTCCCTGCCCTGCCCTGCCCTTGGCAAGAGCCGCCGCGGCCTGGCTCAGAGCTGGGAGGGCCCTGGGCTCGCCACCTCCAGCATCCAGGGAGGCCGATGCCCCTTTCCCCGCCAGCCCCAGGCCTGTGTCGGATCCCCGTGTGGACCACGAGTGCCCCGCTCTCACGCCGCTGCGCCGGGGCAGACACAAGTGCTTTGTGGCGGCTTCCGAGGGGGTCGTGTCGTGGCCCCTCGTTCTTGCCAATAATGAATCCCTGCCGGCTTTCTCTTCCCCGTTCGGTGTTTTGGAAACACTTTTCCTGCACCCCCCTCCTCTCAAGGGTTTCTTCCCAGCTGAGCGGACCCGGCCTCCTTAGTCTCTCTTCACGCGGAAGCCCCCCCGCAGTGCCGCTCATCCTTGGTGCCCTTCTCTGGGCTTCCTCTGCTTGTCCTACGTCCTTCTGGAGGTGCAGGGACCAACAACAAGAGTATTCATGCCCTGGGTGCACCACGGACCTGTAAAGGGGCATCATGGCCAAGTGCTGGAACGGGCTGCCCCAGCCTCCATCCATCCTCCGTCCTCAGAGGTTTTGAAAACCCAGGCAGACAAAGCCTTGGCTGGGATGATGTAGTTGGGGTGGTCCTGCTTGGAGCAGGGGGGGTGAGGCTAGGTGACCTCCCAAGGTGCCATCCAGTCCTCATTTTCCGAGTCTATGATTGTAAATCTGCAGGGTGGTTTCAAAGAGGATGGAGCTGGACTATTCTCAGCGGTGGCGGATGTCAGAACAAGGAGCGGCAGTCTCAGGAGATGGGCTGGATGGGGTCCTCTGGTGCTGAGAGCCATGGAGGGTCCTGCCGTGCACGGGGCAGCTGCACACGTGTGCAGGAAGGTGGGAGCGGGGCTGCTGGGAGGAGGGTGGAAAGCCACATGGGTCCTAGGATTCCCCAGTGGTGCTTGGGGACTGTCGTTTCCCCGAGTCTTCAACGTGGTTGTGCTCTTGGCTCCCTCATCACGTGATAACATGCAGGCTCTTTCCTTTCCTTGCAGATGCCCCAAAAGAGAAGACGCGGCCGGCAGGCCCAAAGCATGAGCAGCAGGAGAGTGAGAGCTTGGGACAGGCCTCCCCTGGCAGACACCGTGGCTGCCAAACTAAGGCCAGTGCCGGCAATGAGCCCCATTTTTCCAGCACTAGCACCAGCCATGGTGTCCCCAGAGCTGGCCCTGGGGGACGAGGTCCCCACCCCAGAGACCTGGCGCCGGCGCTTCCGCGGCTTGCACTACCAGGCGGCCGCGGGGCCACAGGAGGTTTGCAGCCGCTTGCAGGAGCTGTGCCAGCGCTGGCTGGAGCCCCAGCGCCGCAGCAAGGAGCAGATGCTGGAGCTGGTGGTGCTGGAGCAGTTCCTGGCCATCCTGCCCCGGGAGATGCAGAGCTGGGAGTGGGGACACGGCGTGGAGACCTGCGCTGAGGCCGTTACCCTTGCCGATGGCTTTCAGCTGGGGCAGGCGGAGGACGAGACACTCCAGGTGAGAGCGCTTCACCCCCGTATCGATGCTGCCTCCCCACCTTTGTCTGTTTGGGGATTTTCCCTCCTAGCCCCATCTCTCCCAGCGACATGGCTATCTTGTCCCCAGGTCACAGTGCACATGAAGGTTGAGGATGTGGCCTTGGCCAAGTTGGCACCCACTGGGACATTGTGGGATCCTCTCGACTCCTGTTTCGAGCAGCCTCAGCCCCATCCTGTAGACATGCCGCAGCAGGAGATGGGATGGGGTGAAACTCCAGGGCCCCAAGACAAGCTGCCTCATATCTCCAAAGAGGAGCCCCCACTTCAGCCGGAGTCAGGTATCGTGCCAGATGCGTGGCACCATTTGAGACTCGGTGCCTAATAGCTGCCCAGCATTTGGGGCTCACGTCACTGCCCTGGCCTGTGACAGGGCCCCAGTCTTTACAACCACGTGGCTGGGGAGGGGCAGGACTGGGGTCTCTTTTACAGGACAGCACCCAATTTGAGAAAGCCTGGTCTTTTCTACTCTCTCTGTATAGCACCCAGCAAAAAGACGGAGTATTTGCATGGGCCTTGTAGTGCCTGCTTATTAAAAGCAAGGATTGTGTTCCAGGGGCCTCTCTTCCATGGCTGTGTGCATCCTTTGTGCCCAAGAATATGATGGTGCTGATGTGAAGGAGATAGGTTTTCCCAGTGTCTTGCAGCTGGTTCTTGCACACTGAACCCCAGGTCTCTGTCCTGCTGCAGATCCCCCTGAGACAGAGAAGCCCTGGGACACATTAGCAGATGAGAGCTCCTGGGCCTCGTGCCCCAGACAAGACCCTTCCTCAGGTGCAGGTAAGGAGCTGTGCTTTTGACCTTTCTACACATGAGGCACCACCCATCAGCAGAAAACTTGGTCAGTTTCTCCTGCTGTCCTGGAAGCCCCCATGCCCCCAGGAACATATCACCCTTTTATTTCCCTTCCCCTTAAAAGGCGGATGCTGATACAGCAGGGAGGTCCCCTGTTTTCCCCCGGGGAGTGATGGTCATGCTGGTTCTGACGATGCTCTGATCACCGCTCTGAGCAGGGCTGCTCCTTGGGACACATCTCTGGCTGGTGGTTGTGGGGGTCTTTGACTCTTCCTTCTCCCCCTTGTGCCACATGCTGAGACCTGGGGATGCTTCAGGCAGAGGGAAATATTAGGGCTTTCTCCGTGCCAGCAATACCAGGTCTAACAGGTGATACCTCTTTCCTACCCAGCAGATGCAACGATCCTGAGCAAAGCTGAGGAGCAGCTTTATGAGGAAGGGCCTGTAATCCCAGAGTTGCAAAGGACATCCCCAGAGGTGTTAGGGGAGAGGGGCTCCCTGACACCTGAGCCGGACCAGCTGCAGAAGGGACAGGACAGGCCTCTGGAGGTGAGCGAGGCACCAGCTGCACTTGGGGGTGGGAGTGCAGCTGGGGCAGAATCGAGCAAGAGCCAGCGGTACAGGGAAAAAGCGGGGGGAGCAGACAGACCTGAAGAGCCACTGATGATGAAGACTATACCCTCACTGAGCTAGCGGGCAGGGCAGATGGTGGGGGATGCCAGCTCTAGAAGTCCTGATTAGAGTCAGTGGAACAGGGGCCTTTGTCTCGGGTACCTCTGAGTGCTCAGGCAGAGCATTTGAAGTCTGTAAGAGCCCAAAACGAGCTCACCTGGGTACTCTGTGACACCCAGCCAACACCAGGGAGCACGCGGCGGGGAGCTCTGCAACTAAGCCCAGCCGGGTCCCTCCAGGGCAGGCTCATACGCAGGCTGTTTGCTAGGGGTGAGCACCTGCCAGGCCACTAGAGGCAAAGCCAGTTCACACGGCCCACAGCAAAGCGACATGAATCCCAGTCCCAGTTTCCTAGGATTCATGTCTGAGGGGATACAGGACCCCATCCCCAGAACTGATGCTGTCTGGAGGATCCCCTCTTCAAGCCTCCAGCTGCGACTGGTGCCAAGGAAATCTGCCTAACCAGTGCTGTTGCTTCTGTGGATGGAGCGTGAATGACAGAGTCCTGTCTTTCTCCTGTTTCCAGGTTGATCTTCCAAGGATCCCGGCCAGCCCAGGCCATCAGGAGTTTGCATTCCCTCCTTGTGCACCAGGGTCCAATTCCTTTGCCCGTTCCTTGCTGGTCTTCATGTCCAGTCCTCTGCCTGAGATGGCAAGCGTGGCTGCAGCGGCCCAGACTCAGGTAGGACATCAGCAGGGAGATCCCTTGTGTGGGGCATTAAATCCCCAGGATGCTGGTCTATAAAAGCTCCCTAGCCTAGGGCCATATGGGAAGAAAAGGCAGGTTCCTAACACTACTCAGCACAGGTAGTTCCCTGCAGGGGTGTTTGGGTGAATTCCCAGAGTCCCCCTGCAGTGAATCAAAGCTGTGGGAACAGTTTTGCTGGGTGAGACTCGCGGCACCTGCTTTGCAGAGTCTCTGCCGGGGTCACGATGCCAGATCCAAGGTGTTGGGATCTGCATATGCCGTACACTGACGGGAGGAGCTGCATTGCCTTTCTGAGGCCGTGGCATAAGGTGACACGTGCTTCTCTATCAGCAGAGCTGCATTGATGCCAAGCCCTTTGCTGGTACAGCTGTCAGAGAAGAGGTGGGAAGGTTTCAGCCCTACTTGGGGTAGCCGTGCTGGCACATCCTTGGCATGCAGTGTAGCCTCAGGTGTCCAGGGAGGCTGTAGCAGAATGGGCTGATTGTATAACGGTTGTATTTGCAGCGCCGGTTGACCTTCGATGACGTGGCTGTGTACTTCACCCGGAAGGAGTGGGCGCTGCTGGACGATGGAGACAAGGCGCTTTACCGGGACCAGATGCTGAGGAATTACCAAGCCCTTGTTAATCTAGGTAAAGCTCTGTTTCTTCCTTCTCCCCAGAGCTGTGTGGCCTCTGAGATGTCTCTCCTTTCTTCTTGTCTTTATACAGAGTTGGCTTGTGTTTTCAATCTGTCTTCTCTCTTCTGCTGTTTTCTCCATTAGGGCTTCTGTGAGGTTTTGAATTTTTCTTTTCTCCTTTTTCAGATGGAGCCACATTCTCTTGGCTCTTCCTTTTGGTTCAGCTCCTGGGGCTGCCACATTCAATAATTTTTTTTGGATAGTGATATCTCTTCCCATTGTCTCCCTCAGTGCATCCGCACCATCTCGTTAATATTGACTAAGAGTCGTATATAACAGGGGACCACATCCTCGTAGTAGAGACACGGAGGAAGAGTAAGAAAATGGTGATTGTACCTTTAAAGATGAGCGGCTGGAGGGTGTTTGGAGGGTGTTTGTGAGTTTTGTACCCTCAAAATACATTATGGTGAGTGATGGTTTCTGTGTGGTTTCCATGTGATCATCCATCTCATTGCCTGTTTGATGGGGGCAGTCCATGCACCAGACTTAATTAGGGAGTTTCATCAGGCGCCCTTGAACAAGCCTTGTCCTAGGATGTCTGGAAGCAGTCCTTAAGAATAGCACTGTAGCCAGGTAGCTAGGTCAGCAACACTCAACCCCCTAAGCAGGGCCAGCTGAGCCTCAGCCCACTGACTGCTTCTAGGGCTGCCTTTCTGAAGTTTTCTGCTTGTGGCTCCTTCCCTTTCCTTCTAAATGCCCACCTTCCCTTTTCCTCAGGCACCGTGAGGATATTGAAGGCCTTTGGGTTCTTCCAACGGGGCACAGGGTGGGGATTAACCAAGCATCATATCCTTCTGTGCATTTCCTGAACTAGGACATCGAGGTCCCACCCCAGACTTAATCTGCCGCATCCAGAGAGGGGAGCTGGAGCTCTGGGTCTGTGGTGATGACGATGCTCGAGAAAGCTCCTGGTCTATGGGCTCGACCCCAGGTAAATCAGAGCATCCCACCCCCCCAATCTAGGAACCACTCCCATCCCAGAATGACAAGGAGACCCACACACCTACCAACCTCCCCTGACCTGCTGCCCCCTGATCCCAACCCCAAACAGGTGTTGCATGATGTGCAGGCAGGTGTGTGCTTTTACTCCTCACCAGTCAGTGATGTAATGACATTAAAATGTTTCCCTTCTTCTCTTCCTAACTAAGGGCTCTGGCCATGATATAACTTTACCCCTTGAGCAATGTCTCCTATTCCCCTTGTCTCTGGAGATGGAGCCCTAGCAACCTTGGGAACCTCTCTTGGGAGGTTGCCGGTATGCAGTTGTATGGCTAAGGCCTGCCAGCTGTATGGATTTTAAGTTAGATTTTTATATCCTGGGGGGTATCTTGGACTGGGGTTTCCACCTTCACTGGGCAATATGATAATTGATACTCCATTCTGAGTGGGCATTTTTGCAGGGTCCCCTAACCCCTGCTATTTGGAGACTGGAAAGGCAGCAGTGGAGGGCTGCAATTAGGTAGAAATAGCTACAGGTAAATAAGCAGCCAGGGAAAACCAGAGACAAGTGCCAATATGCAGCAGAGATGCTGCTTGGGAGCTAGCTGCATGGCCACCAGCAGAAAGGTCGGCAAGATGGAAATGAGTGAGGGCAGACTGCAGTGAATCGGAGCAGGTTGAGTAGGGGACTGACGAGCAACCCCTGAGCGTAGTGGAGCCCAGGTGGACCCCCAGCATGCTAAAGGCCTGGCTCCTTAAGGAGAGAGCCCAGTATGCCTCTGACTTAGGCTGAAGGCACAACTCCTTCTTGCCTGTGCTGCTAGAGAAGGGAAACCCAAGCAACACAAGTACCCAGGGAAGCTGCATAGAGCCAGCAGCTGAAGCAGAGGTATTTGGGACCCAGGCAGGCCTAGGAAGGGTTTGCATTTGAGTATTACCTGACATACTACCAGAGATTCAGGTAGTGGCTACAGCGGTGGTGTGGAGGTCATAGGTGGGGAGCCTGGGAGGCATCTGTAGTAGAAGAGACTAATGCCCAAGTGTGCAGGTGTATAGGAACGGGTGGGCTGCATGGGGCTAAAGCCAAGCAGTTGGAGGCTGAAGATAACAGCCCTGTAGAGTCAGGTGCTCATGGGGCTGAACCCAGTACAGGGTGATGGGTCCAGTCCAGACAGGGCCCAGGGCCAAGAGGAAGAGGAGCCATGCTCAGGGTAGAGAGCTGGCCTGAGGAGGGGCAGAGCTAGGTGGAGCACCCAGAGCTCATTGGCCTCTGAGGACAGCCATAGCTTGTCTTCCAGCTCTCATCTGCCCTCCCCAGCTAGCCCCTGGGACAGCTGCCCTAGTCACGGCCACAGTTACACTACTGCACTGGGGAGACATTAAGTTATACTGTAAAGAGGCTCTTTCAGCCACTGCTCCCCATGCCTCCCACTTGGTCTGCGCTTGAACTCTCCTCTATAATGGGCAGGTGCCCAAGGGAAGTGCTTTACCAGGAGTTTGGTGGGTGCCACATGCAGACGGGATTTACAATCTTCCCGACTCTTAAGGGATATAAAGAGCCAGCATGTTGCACCAGAACCTCTGCCTCTCTGCTTTGGGTAGCCCTGAGTGTCTTGGGACTTGAAAAGCTGTCTACATGTGCATGTTACCCCTTTCTTCTGGCACAGATTCCTCTGGCATGGAGGAGACCGACTCGTCAGCAGAGGAAGGCTCTGAGGGCTTGCTCCCATGCCCCGAACCGTCTCCGGATACAGGTAGGCAGCAAAGCTCTCTCCCATGTTTGGACCACAGGAGCATCTGGTGCAGAGTAGGATGATGCTAAACAGACCCCACGCACCTACATTTACTGACGTACTCGAGATTAAGTTCGCCACTGTTAGGGGACTGGGTCGTGGGTGGTGTGTTGTGGCAACTGGGTCTCTGAGGGCCCCGGGGCTAATTGCCGGATCCGGAGGGAGAAATTGGAGAAGGGTCTGTAATGAAACAGGGGCCAGAATTGAGGAAGTCAGAAGCTAAGGTACCAAGTCCAGGGGGGAAATCCACAGGTCAAAACTGAAACCCAAAACCAAGCCAAGGGGCAAGATCCAGGACACAGATCTATAGGGAAATCCAGGGCTGAAGTCTGAGGAAAAGCCCAAAAACCAGAGTCAGGAACCAGGAAGACCAGAGAGCTTGAGAGCCAAGAAGCTTATCGCGGTGGACTAAGTCAGGCCTGGAAACTCACAGCCTCAGCTGGTACCGAAGAGAGAGGCATCAGTCAGTCTGAGCCAGGACACTCGCTGCTTCTAAATTGGGGCTGAATTCATTAGCTGAGGGTTTAGTGCAGGTATGGCTGCTGGGGTCCTTGGCCCAGGCTGGCCTGTCTGCTCCAAGTCCCCGATGGCCAGTGAGGTTGCTTGAGACTTGCCCCCCTAAACCACTCTCGGGGCAGATGAGATCGATCTCTCAAGGGTGAGCCCCTGGGACGAGGCTCAAGTCACCTTGCGAGTGAGCTTCTGTCTCTGGAGCATATTAGAGCCTTTGGGTTGATGGGGAGCGCTCAGCACAGTCTTCCCCTGCACCCACCAGTGCTGTGGCAGAGCCTGATATTTAGAAACCCTCATTCTTGCTTGGAGCAGATACCCCTGGTGCCACCCACAGCCCCATTCGGACCCAATGCCAGCAGACACATCCCCACTTGTCTCCCCTGGGAGGAATGGAAGCAAAGTGGTTCCCCCCATTTTGACAGGCCTTGGCAGGGACAGCATTCATGGGAAACCCTATGTGAAATCTACTGAGTTGGGGGACATTAGCAAGGGAGACTGACCTTGCTCCCTCCCCACCCCCAGCACGCAGGGCGCTTGCAGCAGAGGTCTGGCCCAGTTCTGAGACCGATCCCAGCGCAGGGGCACCGCTGCATTTGCCTTATGCTACTGGAACGGGGACTAAATTCTGGGTTTTCTTCCCACCCCAGTGGGTGCTGGGACAGACAGCAGAGCTGAGGAGCATCCTCATCAGGCAGAATCTGCAAATGTGGAGCCGCTGAGGATGTTCCCAGAGAGACCAACCTTGCCCGAGACAGCGCGCACCGAGGAGAAGCCAAACCAGTGCCCGGAGTGCGGGAAGAGGTTCAGCCGGATTCAGTCCTTGGTCACCCACCGCATGATCCACTCGGGAGAGCGTCCCCACCACTGTGCCCAGTGCGGGAAGCGCTTTGTGACCCACTCGCACCTGGTCAGACATCAGCGTGTGCACACTGTGGCAGAGCCCGTGTACCGCTGTGCCGATTGCGGGAAGACATTCACCCAGCCCACCTACCTGGCCCGGCACCGCCACCGGCACCTCCACGCTGGCGTGAAGCCACACAAGTGCGCTGAGTGCGGGAAGGCCTTCGCCGAGCTCTACCAGCTGGCTCGGCACCAGTTCGTCCACTCGGAGGAAAAACCGCACCAGTGCACCCAGTGCGGGAAGACGTTCACCCGAGCCTCCTACCTGGCCAGGCACCGGCACCGGCACCTCCACTCGGGGACAAAGCCGCACCAGTGCGCGGAGTGTGGGAAGCGCTTCAGCAGCCTGGAGAGCCTCATCGGACACCGGAAGATCCACTCCGGGGAGCGCCCCCACAGCTGTGCCGATTGCGGGAAGAGCTTCATTTACCCCTCGGACCTGTTCTGGCACCAGCGCGTGCACACGGGGGAACGTCCACACCACTGCGGGGACTGCGAGAGGAGCTTCGTGTACCGCTCCGATCTGATCCGGCACCAGCGCGTGCACACGGGGGAAAGGCCATATAGCTGCGGGGAATGCGGGAAGAGCTTCAATTGCCGCTCGGAGCTCCTCACGCACCAGCACGTGCACACGGGAGAGCGTCCGCACCAGTGTGGCGCGTGCGGGAGGAGCTTTGTGTACCGCTCGGACCTGGTCCGGCACCAGCGCTTGCACACGGGGGAAAGGCCTCATGGCTGCAAGGAGTGCGGGAAGAGCTTCGCCCGCCTCTCCCACCTGACCCAGCACCAGCTCACTCACATGCAGAAATAGCTGTGACTGCTCTGAGGGCTTCCTTCACCCTCACTGTGCCAAAGGCAGGGAAAAAAATCACCTGTGACACAGCCATGGTCTGACTGTCTCATGTCTCCTCCTGGCTCCATCCTCCAGTGTGGCACCAGGCTAGTGGGTTTGGGCCTCTCAAGTTCCTGGGACCCCAGTATGCAGGATATTCTGCTGGGCAGCAATGATACTAATGTGCAGGGCAGTGCTCCCTGTTGTCCCCCCTGAACCTGCTGGTCCTTCCCCCTAAATAACCTGTCTTTCAGAAGTGCTCAGGTGTTTGCAAGATATGGCCTTGTTTCCTGAGCCTCGTGCAGCAGGTTTTAGTGGCTCTTTAGCAGCTGCCCACGATTTTGTCCTTCTCAGCACCTGCTCTTCCAGAGAACTGGGGACTTCCAGAGAGCTGGGATTCCCCAGCTGCTTTCCCTTCCCCTGCCATTGGAAACACCAACATCTAGAGGTTGTTTCTAACAGTTGAGACCAGGAGCCAGTCACCGCTCAGGGCATCACTCGTGTGCACTGGTGTGCAGGATGAACCCTACACTGGGAACCCCAGGAGAGAGGGCCCGGGAGTCCATCTGCTGCGTTAGAGTGGGGTCGGGGTTCAGGAGTGACAATTGGTGGCAGGTCCTGGTCCTCACGGAAAGGAGTGGAAAGTGGAATGGCCTTTTTTTCCTTGAAGTTCAGCATTTTGGAAATCATAGCGTTATAGAGAAGTGGAGTGGGAAGGGACCTCCAGGGGTCACGTCTTGTCCAACCGCCCTGCCTGAGGCAGGCTCATCCCTATCCAAATCATCCCAGACCAACCCATTGTCCAACCTCCTGGCAAAACTGCACAATCAGCCCTGCCTCAACACAAGACATCCCACCCAAACCTGCCCCAAGGAAAGCAGGGGACCATGGCAGCCAATGTCCTGCTGTTATAAAAGTTGTTAATATATGCTTAAAATAATCCCAAATAGAGGCCATGGCCCTGCTACAGAGAACTCTGAGCAGGGGGTAAAATTCATTCGTGACCCCAAATTGGTCTGACCCTGAGCCCAGGGGCAGGACCCTCTGGGTTTGAGTCCCAGAAGGAGCACTGGCACAGCCCGGTCAAAATCCCCAGCACCCAACGCCCAGTGTCTCTGAGGAGAATATAGAAGCAGGAGAGAAAACTCCCTCCTGGCCCCATATGGCAGCCAGCGATGCCTAGAGGCATGGGCTATACCCATATGTCCCATACCCATATGTCCCATGGGCATAGGCATAGTGACGTTTTGATCACCCCTGATCAATGCTTATCCAACCTCTTCTTAAACACCTCCAGTGACGGAGAGTCCACAACTTCTCTAGGCATCTGTTCCACTGCCTCCCTGCTCTGACAGTGAAGATGTTTTTTTCTGGATATCCGATCTAAATTTACTTTGCTGCAACTTCAAACCCTTGTTGTGCATCCTCCCGTCTGCAGCAAGAGAAAAAAAGTGCTTTCCCTCTCCTTTATGGCAGCCCTTCACATATTTGCAGACTGCAATCTTGCCCCCTCTTAAGTGCCTTTTCTGCAACCTGAACCTGCCTAGCTCCTTCAGCCTCTCACCATGTGGCTTGTTTTCCAAGCCCATTACCATGTTTGTCATCCACCCCTAGACCCTCTTTAACTTCCCCACATCCTTTTAAAAATATGGAGTCCCAAATACTGTACCCAATGCTGTAGATGAGGCCTAACCAGTACAAAGTAGAGCGGTACTATCACCTCCTGTGTCTTGCACCTAATGCTCCTATTGATGCAACCCAAAACCGTGTTTGTCTTTTCTGCAGCTGCATCACGCTGCAGATTTGTATCGAGCCTGTGATCTTTTCCATAGTTCTGCCATCCAGCCAGGTGTCACCATATAAATATTTGTGCTTTTGATTATTCCTCCCAGTGGCAATGCGTAGGGGGTGCACGGGGGTGCCTATGGACCGCCTGAAAGCACTGGTGCCCCCCCCCGACAGGCTGCGCTCCCCACTTAGGCAGTGGGCAAGGGGGAAACACCCACTATGAGCACCGGCCGGGCAGTGGGAGTGTCATGGCCACTTCCAGGAGCTCTGCGGCTGCTTCCTGGCTGGCAAGATTGACCATGGGGGACCCTCCCCGCCCTGGTCGCTGGGGGGGCACATGCCCCCCTTGACTAAGATGGCACCAGTCGCCCATGATTCCTCCCAAGTTGCAGCACCTTGCATTTGTCGGTACTGAACTTTACCCTGTTTGCTTCAGTTCAACTTTCCAATCTGTCCTGATCCTTCTGAATTGCTCTTGTATCCTCCAACATGTTTGCAATCTTGCCCACTGTGAATATCCAGGTTCCTGCTAGTCCCAAAGTCATTTTTCCCAAAGCAGGTATAACAGGATCAGGTAATTTTTAATTAACCTTCTCAAGGCAGGATCTTTTCTTTCTTTTCATCCCTTCCCCCACTGTCATATCATCTGATCCTCAGGTACCTGTACTGGGTGGGAAAAGAGAGTCACTTGATTGTCATCTTTCCTAAACAGAACAGAACAGGAGTGGATCTGGGGTGGGGAAGGGCGGGGTGCATTGGTGCATTTATATCCCTCACCTTCTGCCCCCAACTTTGATTCCTGGTCCACCCAAAATTTAGAATCAACTGTCTGGAAGTGGTAGTAGCACTTCTATTCAGGCAGCAAGGAGGGAGTCAATTGACTAAATGAAACTTTATTATCCACCTGCCTCCTAAACACTTCATTCCATAGGTCTTAACAAGCCTCCCTCCTTTGTTCGATGGCCTTGATGTTCAGCTAATCAAGCTAGCCTTTCTTCTGCCATTTTGCAGCATGTAGCTCCTATTTCAGTCCTGCACTGTTTTTAATTGTAACTAAAAGCATGAACTCGAGTGTGGAAATAACTTTCAGCAAAGCATTGGATGCATGGTCAAGATGCTCAAGAAGGCTAGGTTTGTTTTGTGAATCTACAAAAGAGAGATCCATTTTTTCTAATGACCACAAGACAAATGAGACAACATCTTTTGATTCTTTTTTCCTGGTTGGTTATGGTTTTTTGTGTGATAGAGCAAATCAATGCACACTGCAGTAAATGTATATATATTTTTGCTCCAATTTAAAATTGAATAATGCAGCCCTAGGTCAGTAGCTTATTTGTAAAGCTTGTAGTTTTGTGTTTTTTTAACTTGATAAGAACGTGTGCTGTGTTATAGGTGATCATGCTCCCCACCCCTTTTCCAAATTCTAGATCTGCCTATGGAGCAGTTCAATTTAGAAAGCAGTTCCCTTCCCCTCCTATCCCTAATTGCTACTGTTACAGTTTGAAAAACAAAATAAATCTCATGAAGCCCATCATGATTTTTGTTGGAGGGGTTGTCATGTGGTCAGAGGCGTCTACAAAGAAAGTGGGAGGAATGGGAATTTGTGCTATGGCAGGGGCGGGCAATTATTTCAGCTGGAGGGCCGCTTCATGGGTTTTGATGAGGTGTTGAGGGCTGCGAGGGTAGCCCCACTCCTTGACAGGTGCCCTGCCCCCTGGTTGCCATCTTGTTACTGGAAGTCTCTCCCCATTGCCTTTTGCCAATGGAAATCCCTCCCCTTGCCCAGGGAGTCCTCCTTCTGGGGGTGGGGTTTGCTTGTATACTGTGTGTGAAGGGATGGCGGGGTGTGAGTATGGTGGGGGTGCAGTGTGTGTAGGATGGGAGTGGGGTGTGTGTGGGTGTAGCTGAGGTGTGGGGTGTGTGGGGGGGTATGGTGCAGGTAGGGTGTGCAGGGGTGTATATGTGTCTGGGCCGTTCCACTCACATGCCGTGGCTCCAGGAGCCTGTTTTCCTCACTGCAGGTCAACTTCAAGGTCCAGCTCCTGCTTTTGTCTGGGAGTGGTAAATCTTCTTGCACAAGAGTCACAACAGCAAGAGAGATTTAGTAGTGCCTACCTTTCCTTCACCAAACCATATCCCAAGCCGTAAAGATATATACGGAGAATACAATCTACACAGCGATAACAGCAACGTAAAATGTAAAAGGATGCAGCAAAATATATCATGTCTTTGCCATAGTTGTAGTCGATCATTTATGCTTCATATTTATAGATCACTTTCTGAATTTCCCCTCCAATGAAAGGCTATGTGCAAAGTCAAAAAATGAACCTCATCCCCATACAGATACTCTCCAAGTGTAATAGGGAGGGTTTAAGCTCAAGGGGTGATGTGGGGAAGAGGAGCAGGGGGTCCTTGGGTTCTGCCTCTGCAGGGGTTCACTGAGGGCTGCATGGTGACCAAACTCGCCTGCTTGAGAGGTGATGAGGAGCAGAGCCAGATCCTGAGCTAACTCCTTCCAGCATACCAGCTAAAGGGGAAGCTCCATCTCTGCCCCCATGAACCCTCACCGCCCAGCCTTTGGGCCCAGTCAGTTGTCTGATACCTGTGAAGGGATGACAGCAGGGAGGGTGCAGCCCCTCACCCAAGTCCAGCCCCTCTCCTGCTTTCCCTGGGGACATCCTCAGCTGCTTCGGGTTGGCGGGCCCTTCCTCCGGAGGCTGCTCCTCAGCTCCGCTCAGTGTCCCTGCACCTGCTGGGCAGGGAAGAGAGCCCAGAAATAAGTCCCCGTCCCTTTGGTCAAGGACAAATATAGCTTTTACCCTGTTCTGGGATGCACCTTAGAGCAAGGGAAGAGCCTGGCACTTTTTTCTTCAGCAGAAATAAGAGGTCTAGCTTTCAAGTCCCTGAGTGATGGGTGGAAAGGGCAGGCTAATATGCCATGCTAATGTTCCCCTACTTGGTATATAAAAAAAGTATATATATCTCCTTGCAGAGAAGGACCTGGACGAAGGAACGAACCTTTGCTGATGATAAGTCCCTGCATCAGAGGAACCTCTTGCAAAACAAAGGTCTTGGGATTAACCTGTGCATTGACTCTGTTCACAGCAAAGGATTTGTACATTGA